AAGAGCAGGATGGGCTTGCCTCCCTCGCCCACCCCTCCTCCACCCCCCAGATACAGAAGGAGGCAAACAGCTGCAAAAGTTAAAAGAAATTGCCTCTAGGAAAGAGGACTTGGAGCAGAGGGGTGCTTCAGTTTTTATTATAAGCATTGTGATACTGTTTTACTTTGTGAACCATGTATGGGTATTAGTATGATTTGAAAAATTAAAAACATACATAGGAGAAAATGGGAAGTTCTTTGTGGTTAGGCAATGAAAATAAGATCTCAGATCATGAGCATAAGGTGAAAATATTGCTGGATCTATTACATCACAATTAAAGAAGCTCGTGCAGCAAAAGCTTTGTTAATGGGGGCTAATAGGCGGTGACTCCTAGTGAAAGATATTTGCAATGTTTAACACTAACAAGGGATTAATTTCTAGACTATGTAAGACACTCCTACAACTCTATGGAAAAATCAGAAATGCATTGGGAAAACTGGCAGATGATATGAGTAAGTAATTCCCAAAAAAGGAAATCTAATGGTTAACAAGCATGTGAAGAAATGTCCAACTTCATTAGTAAAAAGTGAATAATTTAAAAATTGTCACTTTATGCTCACCAGATTGTCAAAAATTAAGTAAAGTAAAATCAAAGACATGAAGAAGCAGGCAGCCTCACACACCGGTATAAATCCTGTTAGACTGGGTGTCTGATCTTGTGGGGAAGGGTGGGGCGTGAATCATCAGGGAAGGGTGGAAAAAGCAATAAGGCAAAATAAAATCAGAACGGGACGCCACCAAGCTCTGTGATGACATTTCGTGCACTAAAGGTTAACTCGGTTTTGTGCACCTAAGGCTCCTCCCCCCAAAATAAAATTTACTTCATGTTTTTTAAAAGATGAAGGAGTGAGTCTCCCAATTACGACAAAATAATTAGAAGTGCTTAAAAGGAAAAAGAAAAACCTTTTTAAAAATTTATTTTTATCCTTTTTTTATTTAAATTCAATCAGCGAACATATAATACATCATTAGTTTCAAATGTAGAGTTCAGTAATTCATCAGCTGTGTATAACACCCAGTGCTCATCACATCACGTGCCTTCATGGGGTTTGTATGAGGTAAAGACCTCTTGTCATTTATCAGTGATAAAATTCTCATTATCAACAGTGAGGGTTAAGCTTTTACCAGGGATCATAATTGGTTCTACTGTGTTGTCCCAGCTTCTGTTAAAGACCTTTTACCTTCTCCAGTGATAGCTTGAAGTACACAACACAGATAAAATTGGAATAGAAGAGAGCCCTTCTTTATGTCCACCTTTTTTTTTTTAATTTTATTTATTTGACAGATCACAAGTAGGCAAAGAGTCAGGCAGAGAGAGAGGGGGAAGCAGGCTCTCTGCTCAGCACAGATGCTGAGGCAGATTCGGGACTCGATCCCAGGACCTGAGCTGAAGGCAGCGGCTTAATCCACTGAACCACCCAGGCGCCCCCTGTCCACCTTTTAAAAAAAAAAAAAAAAAAAAAAAAGATTTTATTTATTTATCTGACAGTGAGTGAGAGAGGGCATGAGCGCTAGTCAGGAAGGAGTACAGGGAGAGGCAGAAGCAGACTCCCCGCCAAGCAGGGAGCCCAGTGTGGGGCTTAGTTGGGATTCCAGGATCACAAACTGAACTGAGGGCAGACGCTTAACTGACTGAGCCACCCAGCACTCTTCTGTCCACCTTTTTGAATATCGAGTTTATAGTTAATTCTCAGTTTACTCCAAATGATCACAAAATCCAAAAACTCTAACCTGGGTCCATGCTTTAGTTTTAATGCCCCCTTCCCTAGATTTTTTTCCTTCTTTTTCTCCTCTTCAAACTACCCTTTGGATAAGTATTAGAGTTTAAATACTGACCAGGAGGCAGAAGGGGATCTTAGAAAGATCAAAAGGCAAATAATCTGGACCCTAGGAGTGGATCCATGTATCTCTCTGTTACTGTTCCTCTCTACTCCACCAAAACCAAATAAATACAAAATCTTATGGTATAATGCCTAGAGGTCAGTGCCATCAGAATCATTATCTTTAATTACGTTGTTTTATACTGTCCTTCGTTGAGATCAGTGAAACATGGACCCCTTACTCTTTGGTAGTATCTACCACCCCCTTCCAAACTTTAATCAGCACCTACCAATTGATTGGCTGGTTAGTTGAATAATGCTCTAAGAAAGCATTTTTGTTTCCCAGCATACTCGGTTAAAATTACGACATCCTGAGTAGATCTCTTGGAGGGTAGGGCAGTGTATAATGTGTTTTGTCAGCAATTTCATGGGTATTGTCAAGAATTACTGTTAAGGTTTGTTGTGGCCATAGTTATTAGTACTGATACTCCAGACCTGTCTGTTATCCTTAGAAGAAAGAAGGAAGTTGCCTCTCTTAAGCCGTTGATCAGTTCTCTTGTTGTGATAAAGGCTTCCAGAGCAATCAGTAGGCTAACTTTGCATTTTGCCATAATTTTGAGCAGTTAAAAAAAAAGCTAAAAATTTTACTTTGGATAGTTCCTCAAAGAGCAAAAAAATGAGAGTAAACCTTGGTATACAGGAAAAATACTGAGCAGTATTTTATATGATATTAGCAAACTGGGTACTTGTGTTTTTATTACAGACATGGAGGCCCCTAGTCTTGGCCTAACCATGTCTTGTGTAGTTTTCAGGTTTCTTAAGGAACATATTCTGCATGTTTTTAAATGATCAAACTCTGAGAGATGGCAGAATCAGACAGATGTAGGCTTGAATTTTAATTCTACCATTAACTATGTATCCATGAGTAACTGAGTCTCATTTCCTTTACCTGAATGAGGCAATATTACCTGTCTTTACAGGGATATTATGTCCATTAAATGAGATGATGCACGTGGAGCACTGGCACAGTGGCCACTCGTTGGTCAGGGGTCAGGCCACCCAGGAGCAATTTTACAGTTGGTCTGAGGGCGGTCTGTGTTCTAGATGCGGTAGAGTCAGATCCTAGTGCTGCTTCGGAGCTTTTGTGGCATTTAAATCACATATCCCATTTGAGAAGAGTAGAATTTTTTTAAAAATTTTTATATATTTTTTTAAAGATTTTCATTTTTATTTGTCAGAGAGAGAGAGGTAATAGAAGGAGAAGCAGACTCCCTGCTGAGCAAGGAGCGCAATGCAGGACTTGATCCCAGGACGCTGGGATCATGACCTGAGCCAAAGGCAAACACTTAACCAACTGAGCCACCCAGGTATCCCGAATTCTGGGTTTTTTTGTTTTTTGTTTTTTGTTTTTTTAAGATTTTATTTATTTATTTTACAGAGAGTGCGAAAGAGGGAACACAAGCAGGGGGAGGGGCAGAGGGAGAAGTAGGCTTCCTGCCAAGAAGAGAGCCCAACGTGAGGATTGATCCCAGGACCCTGGGATCGTGACCTGAGCTGAAGGCAGACACTTAATGTGTGAGCCACCCAGGCACCCCCAGAATTTATTTTTAACTTAAATTTTAAAGCTTTGAATGGTCCCTTTACTTTGGCTTTTCTTTTTTTTTTTTGTAAGACTTTGTGTATTTGAGAGACAGATAGAGAGAGAGAGAGAAAGCATGAAAAGGGGGGAGGAGGAGGGGGGATGCAGACTCCCCACTGAGCAGAGAGCCCCATGGGGGCTCGATCCCAGGATCATGACCTGAGCCGAAGGCACATACATAACCACCTGAGCCACCCAGGAGCCAGGACCCTTTAGGTTTTGTTTGTGTGTTTGTTTTTTTAAGATTTTATTTATTTATTTTAGAGAGAAACTAGTGTAGGGAGGTGTAAAGGGAGAGGAAGAGAATCTCAATCAGACTCCATGCTGAGTGCAGAGCCTGATGTGGGCCTCAATCTCATGACCTTGACATTATGAGCTGAGCCAAAATCAAGAGTCACTCAACTGACTGAGCCACCCAGGTGACTCTGTTTAGTCCCTTTAGGTTTTTAATATAAGTTAGTCTCAACTAAAATAACTACTACTTCAAACAGTATGTCATCAGAATTCACATATTATTGGAATAGAATAGGGATCTTACTAGTTTAAATCAGTCACACATATAAAATAAATTAGTAGCCAAATTTGTTTTCAAAAGGAAGTAACTATGTTCTGAATGCTTACTCTATTCCAGCACTGTTCGAAATGCTTTATGTTCACATATTCACCGAGATAACTGTTACTGACCTGATTTTACAGAATGAGGAAAGTAAGACACAGAGAAGTATTTTGTCCCTAGGCTCACAAAGCACAGTGAAAGAATGGTTATTACAATTCATGTATTGTTAAAGCGTTCTAAGGGTTAATTTGGAGAGGAGAGGGTGTTCTGGAGAGCTGCAGTCCGCATGGACTTACCACCAGTTCAGACAGACAAGACTCCGAGAACTTTAGTGGGTTCGCAACAAGAAGTTCCAGGCTGCTGTCTGTCTCTAGGATAATGCGCGTGTGTGTTTATCTACTGAAGAATACCAGCTGCTTCCAGTGGAGGAAACAGATTCATTAAACATGTTCTTTGTTCTTGGTCCCATAGAATAAAATACTTGCTTTATAGCAGGGACAAGAATTTTCAGTTACTCTTTGTTCTTCCTAAGAAGGTATAAAAGCACATTAAATTTCTGTATTCGTAAAGGTATAAATATGTAACATTTCACTTAACTCTTTGGTGAAGAATAATTTGAAGAATTTGTAAAAATCCTGAATCAAAATCTGTGAGCAAAAATAAAAAGCTGCAGTTCATAACTTTTCAAATGGCATTCAAGAGCAATTAATTACCATGTCACTTCTTATATTATTTTTAGCATAACCTAGCTCTATATCGCCTAATTAAAATATGCAAAGAGCATAAATTACGGAAAGATGTGAGAAATGAAAATAATTCTTTCTACTTCTGTTTAGAAAACATCCTGGTAGCTCGAGTGGGGCCCAGAGATTCACAGTACGGAAATCCTTTAACTAATTGATGTTTTTAATAATCGGTGTATGTTTTTTATCCCTTTGTTTTACAGCGCAAGACCCATCAGTTTTTTGTCAAATCTTTCACTACCCCTACCAGATGTCACCAGTGCACCTCTCTGATGGTGGGTTTGATAAGACAGGGCTGTTCCTGTGAAGGTAAGAACAAAATGGCAAGAGAGTGTGACGTTAGAATCCTAGTGTTGGTTCCCTAAACTGTAATCACGTAGCTTTATTCCCCTTAAACAGTATGTAAGTGTCTGCTGGTTCTGCTCTTTCTGGTAACAGGAGTACAGATAATAAAGCAAGCACCTTGCTGCATGTTGAACAGGGGAGAAACTAGATGGCCGTAGAAACATTTTCCACGGGAGACTTCTGTCATTGTGCTCATTCATCTTTGTTTCGTTATTTGGGTGAATTTGTGGTTCTGGGAAAGCATTAAGCTGAGTGACAGAAGACATAAAAGCTATCCTTGAATCTGTTCATTTAACTTCCACCTTGCTTAATTCCTCTAATAAGAGAAATCATTCTTCAAAAGTAGGCAGTTCAGTATCTTTCCAGAAATTTTAACTGTCTGCCACTTTGCCCCAAAAGGATACTTTATTCCCAGTATTTGTATCATTGGATACTTTATTCCCAGTATTTGTATCATTGGATTTTCCTTACCACTTGTTGACTCATTGATTCATCCATCGAGAGTTCATGGAATTCCTGTCCTAGACTTCTAGACACTGCAGTGTAGACACCCCAGTGTAGGTGGGGAAAAAGACTGAGAGCCTGCCCTCTTGAAGCTCACATTCTGAGAGATGGGAGATCAGGGGTCACTTGAACAGAAAACAAAGTATATTTGTCTGGGCACCACTTTATTTTTCCTAAGACTTCTGAAATGTAAATGACTTAAATAATTATAATGGGGCACACTATTTGGGAATAGTTTATTTATAGTATATTTATTTATAGTACCTTATTTGGGAATATACTTTGTCTAATCAAATGAAATTTATCACTATAACAATGCCTTGTGTATCATTTGCTAATATATCTTATGAGAAAGGTAAAATAGTTGCTAGTTCAAATTCTAATATTAGTTTCCATTTCTTAGCCCTTAAGGTCGGAAGGGACTTTGAGGGGAAGGTCATCAGGCCACATCAGAAGCAGGTGTTCTCCTTGTAGAATGTGCTTGTAGTTAGTCTGTATTTGATCACTTTGAATGCTTTGAATTAAGGGGATGTTAATGGCATCTTAATGCAGTGAATTCTATGTTTGATGAGCTCTCACAGTCAAAGCAAAAGATCCAGATTGCATCATCTCAACTAGTCTTGTAGATGCACGGGTTTAGAGCCAAAGCAATGCTCTTGGGTTGAAAAGTAGATTTGAAAGTTACGAGCTTACAAAGTGATGAACGGGAATGGTGTTTTCCTGGAAACACGCAGAGTGAAAAGAGTGCAGGTGTGAGGACAGGGCCTTAAGAAACAGCTCAGGGAAGGTAAAAGGTAAAGACAGCAAAGTAATCTGAAAAAGGAACAGCCTGTGTCATTGACCAGGAAGGTGTGATGGAAACCAAAGGAGAGAATTTGTGCAATTTTTTAAGCCTTGTCCCATTTGGGATTTAGCCAGTACTTACAAATGTCATTTTTTAGGGGTGCCTTGATGGCTCAGTTGGTTAAGCATCTGACTCTTGGTTTTTGGCTCAGGTCATGATATCAGGGTTCTGGGATCAAGCCTTGCAGCAAACTCCACACACAGTGGAGAGTCTGCTAGAGACTCTCTCTCTCTCCCTCTGCCCCTCCCCCAGCACTCTGTGTCTCTAAAATAAATAAATCTTTAAAAAATAAAATAAAAATATATGTCATTTTAAAATCTGTTTATCAGAAAGAACCCTGGATAGCTAGCTACCTGGCTTTAGGACCCTTATCATTTCTTATGCATCAGAATCATTTGCAGTTACATGGTGGGGGGTTTTGAGGTCTCCCCAAGCCCCCTTCTAGAGTCCTGTGTCGTGAAATTGTGCCTGTCTTTCCTGCAGAGCCTTAGAACCCTACCCTATACACTGTGGGGCCACAGTAGACTCTGCCTGGGCTTCCATAAATATTCTGGTAATGTGGTTACAGCCTCCAAAGATTCCTGTCATTTTCACTTCTTCCTGATGGATTGAAATTAGATCCTGTATAGGACAATTATTTTATTGCTTCCACTGCTGTTTGTAGGTGAGATTTTTGCCTATTAGTAAAACAGTTTATAACTTGTTAGACACTCTACTTGTGAGCAAGATGTCTTACGGTAGTTTTGACAGTACCACTTCATCTTGGCCCTCTGGTGGTTTCATAATGCCCATGAGTGGGTGTATGGTACATTTTCCTGTGTGCATGCATTCCCGTGATGGTATCCCTTCAACTCCTCTCTTAATCTTTCCCAAATATTCTCCAGGACCGGACCTTAGAGTAGGAAGTGTTGAAATGAATATTCTTAGTCTGCAGCCCCTTCCAACAAGCTTAAATATTTTAACTTTTTTTTTTTAAGATTTTATTTATTTATTTTATGGAAAGAGAGTGGGTAGGGGGAGGGGCAGAGGAAGAGGGACTCTCCAGCGGATTCCACCTTGAGTGCAGAGCCCATTATGGGATTCAATCCCACGACCCTGAGATCATGACCTGAGCTGAAATCAGGAGTCAGAGGCTTAACTGACTGAGCCACCCTGGAGCCCTACATATTTTGTCCCCCAGCCAAGTCTTGGTAAAACTTAGACATTTATTTTTGTTTATCCTGTTTCTTACGGTCTCAAGTTCATCATGTGTGTATCAGGTAGAAGTGTCATGGCAGTGTGGTTGGTGGCTGGGGGGTTGGGCTCTGACCCCAAATGCTAGGGTTTGAATTCCAGCAATGCCACTTATGAGTCCTGTGACCCAGGGCAAGTCATATATAAATAGTAACTGTACCTCTCTTAGATTGTTAACAGAAAAATTAAATGCAGTCAATGAGGTTAACCATTGTTATGATCTTGGTCATAGCTGAAGTATCCGTAGTGAAACTAACAACTCCTAAAGTTTATCCTTAATTTGTACGTCTTTAATCATGGAACAGTTTCATTTTCAAAAAGAAGGATTGTAAGGTTTGCCAGATACTGCAAAGATGTCGGGTAATTTCATGTCCATTAGTGACCCTGGCAAGAGAAACTCTCAGGGCAGATACCAAGTTGCAGTGAGAAGAAGCGTTAGAGAGAACTCTAGAAACTACTTTTTGGGATGTCAAGTTTAAATCAACTGTTGTATGCACAAGATTAGATTTTTTTTTTCCTATGTATTTGCTGCTCTTGATTACTAATGTTAATACAGAATAATAATATTACAATAATAAAAATCTTTACAGTTTCTCATTGAAATTCTTATTAGTAAGCAAATGAATCAGCTCCCCAAATGACAAAACAGTTTCTTTAAAACAAAGCCGCAGATAAGCATTCATCTGATACAGCCCCTTGTATGTAATGAGCGCTCAGTGAATTGTCTTTTTGTAGAAGTGAATTTTTATTGAACATTGTTTTCCCCCCCGCTTCCAAAGTGTGTGGATTCTCATGTCATATAACTTGTGTGAACAAAGCTCCAACTGCTTGTCCAGTCCCGCCTGAGCAAACAAAAGGTCCTCTGGGGATAGATCCACAGAAGGGCATAGGAACAGCATACGAAGGTCATGTCAGGGTAAGTATGATTAGGTTGGGTTTAGATTAATCTTTTAAGGTTAATTAGTGACTGAAAATAAAGTCCAGGCACCTCACAAATAATACTCCTTAACAGAAAATTAGGCAAATAAAATTCACCTAATAATCTTATTTCATCCAGAGTGATTTGAAAACAAAAACCTGGACTTTGGTTGGAAATAAATTCCAGTACAGTTTTCTGTACTGTCCTTATCTTATAACGACCAAGTGTTTAAATCTCCGTAAAGGAGTCTTTGGCACCTGGTCTTTCTGGGGAGGTAGCGTATGCTTATGAAGTGTGAGATCCTGTCAGGCTGTTCTCTTACTTGTAATCCCGAATAGCATTTAATATGTAAGCTGCATTTCATCGTACTCCCAAAAGTGACTTTGACGCTACTGAGAAAGAAATCCATGAATTCTATTTTAATGAATTACTAGCGAAACTTAAAAACTTTGTAGAATAAAAAGCCGTACAGTATTTGGAGAATGTGTTCTTACAGTTTCTCACGTCATCAGTGGTGTGTGCGTTCCATCTCTGCTTGACCCCCCCCCCCCACCAGAGCAGCAGTTGGGACGCGAGTATGTTGTCTTTAGGTTTCTATCGTTCAGCTACGGAGGTAACGAAGAGGGCGTGATAGACATTTCAGTTTGAGTTGTTTCTGTTTCCCTGAAGATCCCGAAGCCGGCTGGAGTGAAGAAAGGGTGGCAAAGAGCACTGGCTGTGGTTTGCGACTTTAAACTCTTCCTGTACGATGTTGCTGAAGGAAAAGCCTCTCAGCCCAGTGTCGTGGTCAGTCAGGTGATTGACATGAGGTGAGCTTTCGAAAGTGAAAATATTTGTACGTTTGTGACATGGGAATAAAAAAGTGTCTAGTTTTTCATCCAGTTACATTGCCATACTTTTATTTAAATCTAATCTCATATTAATAATCTAATGTACTAATATTGCCAGAGTGATGTTATTAAAACCAGGAAGCAAGGTGTCATTATACGACAGGTTGATGTGTGTTGAGTGAGTTGGGGCCCAGGCTCAGGGAAAAGGAGCAAAGTTTGAATCCAAAAGACCAGCATGAGATGGCTCGCCTAACGGGGGCCTAATGTGTGGTGTTTCGCTATTACCTGAAGGTGTGGATCCTAATTCCAACATGAGGAAGGGGAGTACAAATCCCAACGTCAGGTAGGCTCTTAGAGTACATAGTGAGTTGGGAAACATCTGAACGAGTACATCTCTGGAATAGTTCTGGTCTCACCCTGCAGGCTCGTCCCCCGCCCCATGGAGTGCTCTCCTTTACCTGTTCTTGTAACTCCTGCACTCCCCTGGGAGAACTCAGGAGCCCCCAGAGCTTCAGCTGCCGCCTCTGTGCTGAGACTCCCACACGGGCCTCCCTCCAGCTCTTCCTCCCACCCTCAGAGCAGGAGTTTCCAGCCATGGCACACGACGGCATTTCATACGGCACCTCAGACACGGCCTCTTCCCCACAGATGCGGAAAGCGGGGAGGTTGATGCAGGAAACATTAGCAATGAAAGTCTGACAGAGCTTGCCCAGGGACTCGCTATAGAAAGAGGGAGAGAAGAAGCAAAGACAAGACTAAGGCATCAAGTCTCCCAGACCAAGAGACTGATGGCACTAAGACTTAGGAAGTCACAAGGAGTAAATTACTGTGGAGGAGTTCGGTTTCAAGTGTTGACAGAATAGTGAAATGTCAGATACGCTACATTGTAGACTCTTGAGCTGGGTTGCAGGGGGCAAGAGGGTGCGTTGTTCTGGAGGATTCAGATCCCTCGTCTGCATGTACGGGTGCTGGCTTTGTGACTGGAGCCAGCAGTCATTGTCAGCCGTTGTGTAATGGCCACTGCTAAGTTACTCCTGAGAGATTACTCTCGGCCCCGTCCATTACAATGGCAGGAAAATTATTTTTTTTTAGTTCAGTTTGGATGTTTTGTGCAATGAAGTTTTGAGGATTGCCCCATGTGTGTTATTTGAAGGTACACCTTGAACACAACACATACACTGACTTCTAATGTTTCATTTTTCCTTCAGGGATGAAGAATTTTCTGTGAGTTCAGTCTTGGCTTCCGATGTTATTCATGCAAGTCGGAAAGATATACCCTGTATATTCAGAGTGAGTGTGTGTGCTGTAATTTGATCACTGAATTAAGTGTTCTTATGAATATGTATTTTGTCTCTCCATATAGGACATAAGCTTACTAGGAAATAACAAATCCTGCATTCCTTAATGTGTCTTATACCATCCAGTACTGGACTGTACAGTCAGTTAGTGCTAAGTAAATATTTCATTAGTCAAACACCTGTAGAAAGCATGAATATTTGGCTTCTAAAATAGGATTCATCTTGGGTGTTACTTTCGAGCCACAATTCACTTTCCAAAAAAATATAAGTTGAATAAGTTTGAGGTTTCTCAAGTTTTTGAAGAAGAGGTTGCTTTTTAAAACCTTATTTAAAAAAATAATATTTTATTTCTATTGCTTTGTAACAACTACTCCAAAACTTAGTAGCTGAAACCAGTAATGACTTATTTTTTACCGTTCTCTGGATCAGCTATCCAGTTTGAGTGGGGTCGACTAGGGTCACTCCTGTGGCTACATTCGGCTCATTTGAGGCTAGACTATCCAAAATGACCTTGCTCCTGTATCTGGGGCCTTGCTGCTGTCTGGGAGCCGGGCCATCTCTGCGCTCTCTGAACGTTCTGCATGTGACCTCTCATTCAGTCATCCGGCTGACTTCTATGGGGCTGGTCTGCAAGAAAACCTTTCTTTTAAGGACCTTTCTTTTAAGGACTTTTCTTTTAAGGACCAGGCCAAACCAGGAGCACCTCCTGTGCATCTTGTTGGTCAGAGCACGTCCCGGGGCCAGCCTGGATGTAAGGATAGACTCCAGAGCTTGATGAGTAGAGTTCCGTAAGAAGAATTGTTGGTAGGCATCTTTGGAGGCCGTCTGTCTTGCCACAGGGCAATCTTGAATTGGTGAATTAAGACAATAGAGGTTTAAAAAAAAAAGACCACTGCCCTAATGTTATGCCCATATGCTAAGTGATTGTCTTTGAATCTTCTATCTGGGAAAGTCACCAACGGAGCCTGAAGAGGCCCACTTGTCTGGAGCTGATTCACGTAGTGGGACTTTGTGGTCACTGCTGCTTAAAGCACTTTTAAGGGGGGGATCCATACAGTCTGTTCTGATTGTAAGTACTATTTGTATAGTGATAAATTTTCATGTAAATACCAACTCAAATGATCTGATCTTCTCTCAAATAATGTGAGTTATATTATGAAGTAACAGAATGTTATTGCTGACTTTTTAAAGCAAGTTGGCAGTTGGTTTGGCGTAATGCTTCTGAGCATGGACCCACGATCCCCATCTGGTAGGACATGCTTGGAGACCGTGAGTCTCTGCACCAGAGTATTTTTGTATGTAAAATCAGGATCTAATAGCAATACCCAACTCGTACTTCGCAACATGCTCTGATCACTGCTCAGGTATTGCTCAGTCAATGTCAGCTGCAGTTGATGGGTGAGTATGGATAAGGCATTTCTCAGTGATGGCATCCTGGCACTTGATAGCAAAGAAAATTAAAAAATGGTTACTAACATTTAAAATGGTATCTAGCTAGCCAGCCGGATAGTACCGGTATCTGCTACCTTTGCTTTGTCCTGAATTCTGAGGCGAAAACTAGTTATTCTCCTGATGAGGAGAGCTGACCTCCTGTAAAGATGTCATCTGATAAATGCTCATTTTGTTGGCCGGAGCCTGGTCCGCTGGCATGGGCGTGCTAGTGCAGGGTGTCTGTTTTCTAACACAGGCTGATTAAACTGTCCTAGGTCACGGCTTCCCAGCTCTCGGCGTCTGACAGCAGGTGTTCGGTCCTGATGCTCGCGGAGAGTGAGAGCGAGAGGAGCAAGTGGGTGGGCGTGCTCAGCGAGCTGCACAAGATTTTGAAGAAAAACAAATTCAGAGACCGCTCAGTCTATGTTCCCAAGGAGGCTTATGACAGCACTCTGCCCCTCATTAAAACAACCCAGGCGGCTGCCATCATAGGTACGGACTTGCCCATTGACTGTGTTACTGTAGTGGCCGACTAACCTACCGTGTGCGCAGAGCTGGCTTACAGCTAGGAAACCCCAGTGTCCAGTGTGTCCCGTGTGTGCTGCCCCGCGTGTGCGGGAGGGGTCCGCTGAGTGAGCGAGGCAGCTGAGAACATGTTTTCGGTAAAGGGGAATCAGTATGCTTCCCCAGTGCATTTTCTTCTGAAAAAGCCACAGTGCTGAAGATTAACCTATAACAATCTGTTTTCTGCTGTGTGACTTAGAACAAGTTGTATAACTTCTTAAAGCGTAAGTTTCTAGGTAAGATGGGGTTCCAATTACCTCAAAGAAGTGATGGGGAAGCTTCTGGAAGGCGAGACACATGACACAGGGTGCCCTGCATATCAAATGCCATCAAAAAATGGCAGTTTACGTGTCTGGAGGTTTAAATTTTTGTCTTATATACCTATCCAACTCTTCTGTTACTTGCTAATAAATAAGGAAAAGCTAATTAGCAGGGTTATGCCTTCCACGGTTTTTCCCTCCCAAAACAAGAAACAGAACTAGGCCCAGGGTGCTAACAAACTAGGTTTTTAATTTTTTTCACCCTTTATTGAATAAACATTTACTACTTTTTCTAAGTATGGATATACTAATGATTATTCCGCTAAAAAAAGACCTGAGGTAACATTTACCACTGTCATCTGAAAGGAGATTTTACAGTACCAATTGTTATTGCAATTTTTAAGTTACTTATTTCAGTTTTTTGCACAAATTTCTTTATTATCTGTTTTGTTCTATTAGTTTTACATAGTTTTACCTATTAACAGTGTTTCATATTCATGTCTTCCATAGATCATGAAAGGATAGCTCTGGGCAATGAAGAAGGGTTGTTTGTTGTTCACGTGACCAAAGATGGTAAGAGAAAGTTAATTAATGCAGAGTAATGTCCAACCGATATTGTTGGACAATTCTGGACTTTAGATTCTAAATACTAAAAAGAACAGGATTTGCTCTTCTGTATTCTGTAATTGAAATTTTCCACACCTAATTTGATGTGTTTATGAATCAAAAGATATCCTTTAAAATTATTCAATTCTCCTGAGTTCTTAAACTTGCGCGTATGTGTTGTGTTTCTTTTGTCGTTTATTTATCAGCTCTCCTGCGCAGACTCAGGTGGCATGCCTAGAGATGGCTGTGAAAGATACAGCCTGATTTATTCTTGCTTTGTTAGTGCTTAAAGAGGTTAGCGGTCCTTAAAATGTGTTCATGTTGGGGGTGTTTTTTCCCCACACTTAATACACAGATTTTTTTTTCCCAGGGAGAAGTAAAATACTGAGTGAAATAAAAAAGAACTAGTTTGCTAGTGTCCTATCTTAAGATCAAGTGAGATCTTGGGAAAACACTGCATTTAAACTGTGTCTGTTTGTTACCCATAGAGGTACCTTCAGGGGTACCTGGGGGGCATAGTTGGTTCAACCCCCGACTCTTGGCTTCAGCTCAGGTCATGATCTTCTGATCCTTGGGGATCCTTGGAGGTCCGTGCTCGTGGAGCCTGCTTGAGATTCTCTCTCTCAGCCCCTCCCCCTTGCTTGTGCACACACGTGTGTGCTCGCTCTCTCTCTAAAAAAAAAAAAAAAGAGAGAGAAAGAAATACCTTTAATGAAATATGCCTTACTGTTTTTAAAATAGGAGCACCGTGGTAAAGTTCCTGAGAATTTAGTGCCAGTAAAAGGTTTTTTCCTACAGATGTGGCCTGCTTTATCACACAGGGACACTTTGCCTTGGTTGCCAGAAATCATGGTGCTGAATTTAACACTTCACTTTAGGCATGTGCAGTTACCTTATAATGGGTATAATTATACCTTCCTCTTTCTCCGCACTGATTCGGAGCTCATTCTTCTGGATGTATCTGTGTCTCTATTGTAAGTTGATATCGTTTTGAGTGTAACTGGGATATGATTAACAAATAAAACATTATTCTGCATTTATTATCATTTCTTTGCATAGAAATTATTAGAGTTGGTGACAATAAGAAGATACATCAGATTGAACTCATTCCAAATGATCAGCTCGTTGCTGTGATCTCAGGACGAAATCGTCACGTGCGACTTTTTCCCATGTCAGCTTTTGACGGACGAGAGACTGATTTTTATAAGCTGGCAGAAACTAAAGGGTGTCAGTCCATAACTTCTGGCAAAGTGTGCCATGGAGCTCTCACGTGTCTGTGCGTGGCTATGAAAAGGCAGGTCCTCTGTTACGAACTCTTTCAGAGCAAGACCCGTCACAGAAAATTTAAGGAAATTCAAGTCCCATATAACGTGCAGTGGATGGCGATCTTCAGTGAACATCTCTGTGTGGGGTTCCAGTCGGGATTCCTCAGATACCCCTTGAACGGGGAAGGAAGTCCGTACAGTATGCTCCATTCAAATGACCACACACTATCATTTATTGCACATCAGCCGATGGATGCCATCTGCGCCGTTGAGATCTCCAGTAAAGAGTATCTGCTGTGTTTTAACAGCATCGGGATATACACGGACTGCCAGGGCCGGAGATCCAGACAGCAGGAGTTGATGTGGCCAGCAAATCCTTCCTCTTGTTGTAAGATTCTCTTATTTTGGCTGTTTGACCTTTTTGTCCCTTTCCTTTTCCTCCATCTCATCTCCTAAATATATTCACTATTAATAACAGATTGTTTTTTAAAGTCACCCTTAAGGTTTTGCCAAAGTGTCAATTAGGCTGTTGATCTAAAGTGACTGTCTGTACTTAGACCTCGGCCGGCAGGCTCGACATTACCTTGTACCTGGTTGAAGCTAATCTTTCTATGGCATATTTTACTTAGGTGGATTTTCAACCCATGTTGTATTTTGAAGTAACTCTGAACAGTTATCTTCATGGTCCCCCAAAATACAGTGCTTGTGAGCGTTAACAGCTCATGACACTTGCACTGGAGAAGTTGTTACTAAGTGAATTATTTAATCGGTTATGTAAAGGTATAATGCAGCATCTGTAAGAAGTGTTTCTCTGTTTTTTATTTCTATCTAACTAGATAGAGACTTGAGATTGCCTGTTGCTCTCTTTCGAGAAATACTAAGACATTAGTAAATTATCAGATACTCATGGCATGCCATCGCAGCGGACAGGATAGAGCACCCAGCACGGGAGGCCGTTTCCCCTGCTGACGCAGAGTGGGAACCAGGAAAGTTTCATGACAAGTGCAAAGTTGCAGTGAATTCTTGGTTCTCTGTAGCAGAAGTACGGAGCTCTGGACAGGCCCATGGGAGGAGTATCTGAGCCCACATGCTTTGTTTTTAGTGGAAGATACTTGAACATGCTCGAATGCTGAACTGGGGAACTAGGGAGAGGTTGCCTGTGCAGTAAATACAGGAGGCCAGAGAGGATGGAATTCAGAACCCGGGGGAAGGATTTGGGGCCGGAGGTGTGAAATCTCTTCCACTGGAACCAGGTAGGAGGAGTAATGGGCAGGATATAGTTGAGTGTAAATATTCAGTGAAGAAAAGTTAGGAAGGCCATACATGCTTATTACTGAAGAGTTAGAAAATCTAAATTTTAAAAAAAGAAAGAAAAATATTTGTAATCTACCCACCCAGACCTAATTATTCTTAAAGTTTTGTGTCTTCTAAAATACATATTCCTATCTGTGGTGTCATATGTGGAATAAAGGCTGTTTGGTAACCTGGTCAGGTAATAATTTGAAGTATTACTTCTAATGTGGATTCAGAATCAGGATATCTGGCTCTTAAGAATAGCTCAACCGGGGATGTAATACGGGACATCAGCTTAAGTTAATCATCTCATCTCTCCTTGCTCGTGTCACCATCTGTCGCTGTTCATTCTTCCAGTAAGCAGTTTTGAGCATTCGCCCCCTCACATACCTGTGTCAGGTGCGTGATCCTATGATCCTACGTTCATAGATGCGATGGCAAGTCTCACCTAAAGACTGCTTTATAAGTCATTGCGCTGTCAGTAGCTTAACTGGTTTAGGAATCAAATCTTATAAAAAATCGTAATGGCATGCCTCAATAGAACTCGTTTATTGGAGAAGGCAATATTCTGCCATCTGTGTTAGCAGAATCTTTCTGTATTAAAGGGACCGTCTGACCCGACCCACAGCATGTCAGCTGCTCATTTATGACTTCTACTCAGAAATGTTTTGATGTGCCTACTACATGAACAGAGTAGGATTTGGGTGGGATTCCACTCTACATTATTTAGTGTAGATCTTTCAAAATGTTTGGGGTTTATGAGTTAGAAGTAATTAGCCACTGTTCCCCCTTCCCTTCTCGCAGGTTACAACGCACCGTATCTCTCAGTGTATAGTGAAAACGCAGTTGATATCTTCGATGTGAACTCCATGGAGTGGATTCAGACTCTCCCACTCAAAAAGGTAATTTCACATGAAAATATGGGCTAAGTGCACTACTGAGTGTAGTGAAACACTAGCGTGACTAGTTAGCTGTTTTTCACTCTTTGAGCATTTTCAGGCAGTAGGTAAATCAGGATTTAGCTAAGAGGAGAAACTCTAGGAACAAAAGTCAAGCTTTTTCAATACCATACTCTTTTTATCCATTTAGTTTCACTGGATCAATAGGAGTATTGTCTTAACGAGTGACTAGAATCTACCCCCAGCCTAAAATGCCAGTGTCACCTTCTACCTCAGGAATTCTGAGGGAGAATGCTGTCACTCTTTCTTATAACTGCTTTTCACATAATGGGATGCAGGCTTGAATCCTGAAGGCAAAGATAGTGTCATTATTTTCCAGAGTCATTGTACGACTTCATATTCCCCCCGGCAGGACAGAAGATTTCTTGCAGATCCACATCTTCTCCGACCTTGCCATTCTCAGAATCCATAGTCTTATAACCATTATCAGTGGTTGTAAAAGCGATCTCATCGAAGCCTTAATTTGCATGTCCCTAATCTTTCTATGTTTATTCATTCTTATTTCTTTTTCTGTGAAACCCTAGCTATGCTTTTTGCTTATTTTTGTTTGGCTTCTTTTTTTAATTAATTTATTGAAATTCTTTATCTATTGTAAATACTGAGTTAGTAAATGTGGGTTAAATCTTCATTTGTGACCTATCCATTTTGATTAAGTATTTTGTTCATTTACTTTAGTAACAATAAATTATATTATTTTTCTGAAAACACTGTTATAAATTTTTTTTTAGATTTTATTTAAATTTAAGTTAGTTAACATATATAGTGTATTACTAGTTTCAGAGGTTATTGTTACAAATTTTCATGTCGGTATATATAGCATTCTTATCCTTTAAGGTTATCTTTTTTCTGTTAGGAAACTTTTGTAACTCAAGGTCTTTACCCACTGAGCCACCCAGGCGCCCGTAACTCAAGGTCTTAAAGATAGGACCTTTATTCCAAAAGTTTGAAGGATGTGACTGTTACATTTATGTCCTTACTCCCTGTAGAGTTGGTGTTTGATGTGTGGTGTGAGGTAGGGGCTCTATTCATCTGTTCTGTGTATGTGAGCAGTTGCTCTGTCACCATTAACTGACAGCCTCCCCATCCCTAGTGATACAGTTACACTCTGATACTCTGTCATATATGGACATATAATTCTAATATATATTATGTATCATATATATATAATATAATTCTAATCCCATTCCTAAAGTAGCTACAATGATATCTTCTTAGTATAAAGATTTAGTCACTAATGGATTTAATTAATATTTAAATGCATTTCTGCTATTTTTTCCCCCCAGAATATCCTTCCTTTAAAATGTAGTCATTATAAATTTCTGGTTCAAATTAGATAATTTTATACCTATTTCCCATCAGAATTAATGTTAATTTTTTGTTGATTTTCTGAGGGAGCTGTATTTTGAAGAGGAAGGATAGATGGAAGGTCTCGATAGTGTGTGCTTTCTAAATAGGCCAGGAGTTTTATGATTTCATTTGAAAGTTTTATTGAAGTACTAGTTTTATTTTTTTTTTTATTTTAGGTTCGACCCTTAAACAGTGAAGGATCATTAAACCTTTTAGGGTTGGAGACAATTCGATTAATATATTTCAAAAATAAGATGGCAGGTAAGAAAATATACGCTAATGGTTAGCTTCAGTGGAAATGTTCGAAGCTGACTGCCTGAAGATAACAAGTGGCAGAGACCAGATTTAAACTCGGGTTTATCTGACTCTGAAGTCTGTGATCTTGGCCACGGTCATACTCTCCTCAGTCCATTAAGATAAATGTCCGCCTAAAAAGGCATTCTGTTTAATCTTGCATAGCTGTCTACACAAAATACTGGTTTCTGATCTACCTTGTTATTTTTCTGTGGAGGACTGAATTAAGTGGCATAAGGATAGCTGTATTTGTCTTCTGTATTATTGATATTATAAAACCCAACCCAGGTTTGTGGCACTGACATTGTGAGATCTCATCCAGAGCTCTGACTGGGGACTTCGGGCAAACATCCACTGACACATAGGGCTCCGAACTTCAGAAGTATTCGTGTCAGCGTGGGCAGGGAGGGCAGAGAGGAGGGTCCCAGGAGCACCAGAATCAGGAGCGGGGAGTGGGATCCCCAGGATGGGAGGTCTGGAGAGGACAAGGGCGGTGTCCACAGTCGCTGCTGGTCTTCCCATTTGATGTCCGGCATCTGGAGGTGCTCTGATGTCTTAGCGCTCTGGAGGTTTCTGGGTTGACAGACTGCTGGCTGTAAGAGAGGTCTTCCGAAGGGAGAGTCAGAATTTAGAAACGATTCCCACTAAGTAGCGGATCCACCATGAATCTAGTGACACTGGAGCCTAACACCTCTCACCACCAAGGGCCTGTACTTCATTTGGTGTCCGTCTCTTAGAGGAAGTCCAAGTTTTGGCGGAGGATCAGCTGCACCCTATTCTCACTGTGTGTGGCTGTGATGATCATACAGTCTGTCCATGTCCCAGGTCGTGCCCGCAGGATGAAGCCTCTTTCCACTTGCATTCCCCACGCTCTCATCTTTCTGCTCTGAGCTGGCGGTGGGGGCGGAGCCTAGCGAGGGAAAACCAGACAGAATTTCAGCATAGGTGTCTTGTCCTTGGGAAAAGGAACAGACCCCATTCCCCAGAGGCCCTTTCTTTTTCTCTGTATTGCTCTGTCCTTCATCTCTCAGGGGCTCAAAGTGTTACTGCAGCCTTCTGGGCCTCCCACATTGCCCACTCTGCCGTAACTCACCCAGACCTGCTCTGCCTTCATGATTCACAAATTCCAAAACTGTGTTTCAGCTGGAGTGAAGAAAGCTAGCTGACGAAGCTACATTATTCCGATCCAAGAAGAACATTGCTTTTCCGCTTATCAACTGCCCTGGCTTGCCTTGCAGGCTTCCGCTTGTCTCCCTTTTTCTCACTTCAGCTTTGTGGCTGTTAAAAATTCTGAAGATTGGCTTTTCTCCTGTTCCTTATTTAGAGAATGGCATCCATCATGTTGTGTGACTACAGCTGTCTATTTTATTCCTAGAGTGTGTGCACATATTTCAGCAGGTCTGCGGAGTCTTTGGCGGATGGTTTTGTTTACTTCTAGGTGTTAAAATTGAAACCGGATGCATATGAATAAGGATCTTCTCCTCCCCAAGATCGGAAGATAGAAATAGCAAGAGTCTCACCTTTAGCAAAGGAAGCTGGTGGGAGCTGGAGCTTTTGTCCTTAGTCCACATCTGGCAGAGTGGGTCTTGCAAAGGAAGTGTTTCATCATGTCAAAATACTTTTAGTTGTCCTTTACAAGGATAATTTACCCATTACACCTGACGCCACATAGCTTCACGGAGGAGCATTGGAACCAGTGCCTGGAAGGCGAGAAAAGACAGTGCAGAGAGATTGTGGTGGGGAGGGGGAGGGTTGCAGGGGCTGGTGGGGGGCAAAGCGACAGGACCCCCAGGCAACTGCATTTTTCTTGTCCTCCACTAAAATTGTGCCATTTTGTGTTTATAAATGAATCAAAGTGAAACTGTACTTAGTAAGCAATATTTAACTTTTGTATATACCTTGTTTACATATGTCTTGGTTTAAATTATTATTTGCTGTATCAACACACCACGTGTAAAAATGAGAATTGCATAGGTTGCACAACTGAATGTGTACCGTCTTAGAGATGAACAGATAAGAAGCATTTTCGCACCTTAAAGAGCATTGCCATTCTTGGTGTTTTTTCTCACAGAAGGGGATGAACTGGTGGTTCCGGAAACATCGGACAACAGTCGGAAGCAGATGGTTAGAAACATCAACAACAAGCGGCGCTTCTCCTTCAGGGTCCCGGAGGAGGAGAGGATGCAGCAGAGGAGGTGCGCGCGCGGCCAGGGCTGCCGATCCGGGTGGGCTCCGTGGTCGTGATGCCAGTATTGGACTTGGAGGGCAGATTTGAGCTCTGAAAATCTGTCACCCATCTGTGGTGTCGATCATGAATGTAATCCTCAGTGTAATTTTAATAAGTATCCCCCCAAGTGTGAGTATGGACTGGATTAAAGTACCATATTGTGATTCATTGCTCTGTGTCTATGAAGTACTTCCAATTCTTAGACTGTGGGCCTTTCTATAATCATATATAGAGCACACGGCTGCGAGTGGTACATCTGTTCCTTAGGGTTAACTCTATTCATGAGCAAACAGCCCAAAGGCTTGTAGTATTTCCAGACCCGTAGAAAAACATCGCCAAAATGTTATCAGTTATTTTAAAAGATGTACATAAAATGGTCAGAACTATCTGTAAAATACAGCTTTAATATGTAAGTGCTCAGAGAAGCCTATTTTCCCACCAAAACGCTCAAGCTCTTTTATTTAAAACAAGTTTCTAAGTCAAGTTTTAATGGAGTATATTCTGTCCTTATTAAACATGATTTCACAGTTTTATTTTTGTGAATAAAGAATACTTAACTTTTTTCTGAAGTTATCTAGAGCGATCACAGAAAAAATGTCTAAACAGGTGTTTTATCTTACAGAGAGATGCTACGAGATCCAGAAATGAGAAATAAATTAATTTCTAACCCAACTAATTTTAACCACATAGCACACATGGGCCCAGGAGATGGGATACAGATCCTAAAAGACCTGCCTATGGTAAGAGAAATGAAGAGGGAATGAGAACAGGGTTACAAGTGGGGCAGAGGGGAAAGCGTACATGCGTGCCTAAATCTGTACATATATTTAAGAGGAATCGTTAGTATGATGATGTTTGTGTCCATACATCACAATATGTGTAAGATGTTTGATGATATATACCTGATGAGAAAAACACAACATTTGGGCATCAGTGAGAAACCAAACTGTTCCAGTTCTTAATTGCACACCCCACAAACTTGTCCAGACTTACTGTTGGTGGTGGAATACACTGCTGGATTTGGAGAGCATCTGTACCAAGACTCAGAACTTGCTCGTGACATTACTAACATTTCACTACATTTTAGCAAAATTCGTTACAGATATTTGGCCTCCGCCCACCCCCACCAAGAGAACCATGTTAGGTGGGTCATTAATGGCCACACCTCTTACCTGGTTGGCCAAGCAAATCTTTTTCCTCTCCCCGGTTATAAACATGTTGCCTGGTCTGTCTTACACACGAAAGTACAACATATGGAAAAACTTGTTTTTCATATGAAGACTGGATTCTTGGACCCATTATGTTGAGATGAAGAATATTAGTGGAATTGGCTAATTTTCCAGGCTCCATTTACACTTAACATGTCAGTATCACAATAACTCACCAAATTATTGAGACTTTAATAGGAGCCTTTTGATCATGGGTGGTAGCATTATATTTGTGAATGTGGACCCAGAGCTTTTTCTTTTTCTTTTTCTTTTTTTCTTTTAGAAAAAAAAATAAGAAAATATTTATGTATTTTTTAATTTTTTTACTTTATTCCTGTGGAGTTTTCTTTCATTTTATTTTATTTTTATTAACATATAATGTATTATTTGCTTCAGGGGTACAGGTCTGTGAACCATCAGTCTTAAACAATTCACAGCACTCACCATAGCACATAACCTCCCCAGTGTCCATAACCCAACCACCCTATCCCTCTCCTCCAACTCCCCTCCAGCAAACCTCAGTTTGTTTCCTGAGGTTAGGGGTCTCTTATGGTTTGTCTCCCTCCCGGATCCCATCTTGTTTCATTTTTCCCTCCCTTCCCCCTACGACTCCCCTCAAATTCCTCATATCAGAGAGGTCATATGATAATTATATTTCTCTGATTGACTTATTTCGCTTAGCATAATCCCCTCTAGTTCCATCCACCTCATTGCAAATGGCAAGATTTCAGGTTTTTTGATGGCTTTTTCTAAGGGAGTCTGTCCTCTAACCACATTACCAGCTCTGCTGTGGTAGGAGATTCAAGGGTCTATCACTGACAGAAAAAAAAGCCAGGTGATATAGTTTTATGTGCAATCAAGTTTTTTAAAATAATAAAGTTAAGCTTTTGAAGGTAGTCCTGCATTTGTTTCACAAAAGAAACAAAAAAATCAGTCATTGAGTCTGAGTTCCTCATTGGAAATAACCCCGATTAACCAGTCGACCCTGTTCGTGAACCAATACAATGCTCTTACTGTTACCATCAAGGCATTATGTTGACCTGGTTATAGGTCCTCCTTTAGGAAGTGAACAGTAGCCATTTATCCTCTTGGAATGGGGATTGCTATTAGCTGTACTGGATAAGTTATGAATAAAGTGTTCAAAAAAGTTATATGTAATAAAACTAAGGAAAAAATCGAAGACTAAATATATTAAATATTAAGCTGTTACATTTACCTATCATATTAAAACTTAGGGGTTTTCACCTTTTTGCCTAGGAATGAGATTTCAGATTTCTGTCCACTGTTTGCCCATTCTGAGCTTGTGTTTAAAGTTCTCAGGCTGGTTTTCCTTTATTCTCAAGTAAATGTGACACAACCATACAGTCCAAAGCCTTTCTCATTTTAAAGAGAATTTTTACACTTTGGTAAATGTTGGAAATGTGTATTATGTTATAGCTTATACTTGATAGCTCAAGTGCTAATGTACCATTTTAATGAAAGTTTTAAAGATTTTGGAGGGATAGAGGGAGACAAATTTCAAACAGGCATATGTTGCAAAGCAATATATCAACAAATATAAAATTATTTCAGTGGTTAACAAGGTTTTGATAGATATTATACTTTTTATTTATTTATTTTAAGGTTTTATTTATTTATTTGACAGAAACACAGCGAGAGAGGGAACACAAGCAGAGGGACTGGAAGAGGAAGAAGTAGGCTTCCCGCTGAGCAGGGAGCCCAAGGTGGGGCTTGATCCCAGGACCCTGGGATCATGACCTGAGCCAAAGGTGGATGCTTAATGACTGAGCCACCCAGGTGCCCCTGTATTATACTTTTTTGATTAAAATTTCTTTGACTTGTGCTTCATTTTGGTGCACAAAAAAAGAATATATGTAGTTTTATATATTCCCACAACATAAAAATTACAGGGGCGCCTGGGTGGCTCAGTGGGTTAAAGCCTCTGCCTTCGGCTCAGGTCATGATCCCAGGGTCCTGGATTCGAGCCCCGCATCGGGCTCTCTGCTCGGTGGGAGCCTGCTTCCCCCGTCTCTCTCTGCCTGCCTCTCTGCCTGCTTGTGAACTCTGTCTGTCAAATAAATGAATAAAATCTTTAAAAAGAAAAATAAGAATTACAGAAAATTTTTCTATACGTTCTATTATCTCCCAGAAATTACAGTATTCCTTTAAGGTAAAATACTTCAGGGTTTCATAAAATATTCCTCTGCTGAGTAGCCTTCTGCCATCAGGTGAAAAACCAATTTGCTAATGTTCCAGAATTTTTTCAGACCTTCGCACACATAAGATTTGGTCACCACACACCCTGATGAATGAGTACAGTGAAAAGAAATGTCAGATTTCAAACATCGTAAGAACTTTTGTATCAGAGCCTCCCTCACTCCACTTTTTCTTCCTTTACCCTTCTAGCACTTAAAGTAAAAGAAGTCTTTTGTTTATTTTTGTTAACAATAATGTCTAGTCTTAATTACTGAGCTGAGCAAGCTCAGACAGTGTTTCCTGAAGGTTTTTCCCACAGCTGACTGCATGACACGTGGCCTTCTGTGCAACCACTTGTCCCATTAGATCCCTTGGTTTTTAGCATTTGTTGTCACCAAGAAATGCTAACCCATGACTGCCTTGTTGGCTCCTTCCGTCATTGACACACGTGCCCCTCTGCCCTAGAATGCAGTCCAGTTTTTAATGTTTCTTCCAGGCCTTTCTTACCTTGTAAGCACATTTGTATTTCCAGGACGAGAAGTTGGTGTACCTTTTGAAACCTGTTTCTTCGCCTTAATTTTAGTTTCACTGGCCTTCTTCCCTTTACTAGAAAGGGACGTACAAGCCGGGGCTGTTTATGGGAACCCACTTCACCACCTAACCAGTATTTTTGATACACTGTCCACCCAGACCCGTGCTTGCCTTGGGGTAGACACTGGTAAACAACACATTGATATGCACGTCTGAAGAACAGTAGTGATATGTATGTGTGTACCTGTGTGTATATATGCTTACTGAAAAGCTTGTGATGTTTTAATATGGTCCCAGGTTTTGATATATCCTTTCCACTGAAGTGAAATTATCTGTTCTTTAATGAACAATTTCCAAAAATTAAGATGAATTAAATTCATCTACCGTTAACGTGTCAGAAGAGTTGTCAGACCCCAGAGCTCCATGTTACCATCCGTGCGAGGAGCAGCACGTACCCCAGACATTGTTATGTTTTAACTCATATCAGTACTGCTTTCCTGGGACATACTTACGAGCTTAGAGAGTTTATTGAGTATCTTCAGAAGCTCTTCTGGGTACCAAAATGATACTGATAGAGGATTGTTTGCCTCATGAATGTGCAAAAGATCATCAGGCTGAGGGAGTCTGGGTCCAATAGGAGCCCTTTACACACGTGGTGTGGAGGACTTAGAAGGACATACTGCGTTAGCTTCTTGAATCCTGCTTGTCGTTTGCTTTTTTTCCATAGTGGGTGCTGGCAACAAAGGGCAGATTTTTCTCCCACTGAATACAAGAAAAATAGTTTACCTCCAGAAGATTTGGTTTTGGCCCATGACCTTTTCTCCTAGCCTTTTGTCCATCCCTAGAGTTGTTCATGAAGACCAGGTTTCTAGCTCAGTGACCCCTTAGAGCTCCATGAAGTAATACTGCTTCTTCAAGTCAAAGTTACATTGACATCAGTGAGTTTTTTTCTTTTTGGAAATAACCTTGGAAAGCACTGGTTCACTCACATCTCTAAACCATATGTTATAGAAGAGATTTTGTTTAAGTCTCCGTAAGTTACCAGATTTTGTTAAGCAAAGCTGGCTCATCCCAGCTCAGGAGGGCGTACGTTCTACCAGCTTTCTCCCTGTAAGTCCTTCCCTCCCACCCCTGAACCCTGCAGCTGCTCTCCGGACCTGAACCATGAAAATGCCCCTCAGAGACAGGCTGGGTGCTGAGTAATCTGGGTTCCCAGATTACTGGTCTCCCAGTCATCGTACCTGAAAAACTAGAGCTCTCCATTTGAAACGCTTTGTTGGGATCTTTAGAATTACGTTATTTTATGTTTTAGTACCCCCAGACATGGAAGGGAAGATTTTTCCCCTTGTTAAAAACAAACGTGTCCTTTTGGGTGTCTACGTGGAGACAGGTTTGGGCTACTGAGAGTCATGTCAGTAATCAGGGTCATCCTCAGTCCCACTCTGCTCCTGTCAGAAATAAGAGCAGTAAAAACACACACTGGAGTCTGTACGTCCCAGGAAACGGTTTCCGGTTTCCACAGAAACAGCTTCATGGCACTTCTTGCGAGAGGCTGGTTGTGGGATCGCTGCTCTTTTACTTTCTTGCTTTGTTGGTATGTTTTTGCCATGTTTTGATTTTATCACACAAGAAAATTCTGAACTAAACTCTGAAAGTCTCCTTGCAGCTCCGGAAGTCCACTTTCTGCTTCCCTGATGCAAGTAATAATAATAATAATTATTATTATTATTATTATTATTATTATTTTATAAAGCAAATGATCTTTTGCACATCAAATCTTTCGGTTACTGGCAGGAGGAGTACAAAATTTAACTCTCTAAGGCCTGAAAGTATTTCATGAAGGACTCAGTCCTGATGTGAGACGTGTCGTTTCTGCTGCATGCATGCTGTGAAATGTCACCTGTGACCAGTGACTCCATTCTCATGACCTCACGACTTCTGTTCTTTCTGTCGTTTTGTTAGCCAGGCTTCCCTTATCCATCCCCTCATCATCACTCCGGCCTGATCTCCTCTCCGATCAACTTTGAGCACATCTATCACATGACTGTTAATTCCGCTGAAAAATTTCTCTCTCCTGATTCCATAAACCCTGAGTATTCCCCGTCTCTGCGCTCTGTCCCTGGTACACCAAGCTTTATGACTCTGAGGGTATGAACAGCCGAGTCAGGGGTTAACTTCACTAACTGTGTGCGGACCTCTGTAGCTGGCTTGATAAGTAACTCTGCTGGGGGTGGGGGGCATTTTCTGAGCGTGAGTGTGGGCCTTCAGCCTGCTTCTCTTCTGCCAAACCTCGTTCTTCCTCCTCCTCCTCTTCAAGTTCAGGTTTGTTTCCTCTTTTGAGGAAAAACACGAAGACAGGAGGATTTCACTCTTAGTTTTTAGGCAGTGAAGGAGGTATTTTTATGTTTCATGGACGATTTTTCCATCATGATTTTCCCTTTCCGGATACCATCACTAAATATAGCCCCTGCATGGGTCTTTATTCTGTTTAAACAAAAAAGGAATCCCAGAATTTTCCCATTTTTTAATAGTTCATTAGCCTAGAACTGGTTTAATTCAGAGAAAATATTTTTTCATTTAGTGGCATTCAAGTCTGTGGTAGGGCCTAGCCACAGGCCTTCTTTCCACAATAAACTCCTTTTGAAAAGCTTAAAAATCTCCCAGGTAAAAATTATAATAGTATTAAGGAGTCAAAGGAAAAATTAGAAAGAGATGATAATCTCACTAGTTTTTGAGGTGCTGATAGGCCTTTAATTCCAGCCAGAATCCAAGATATCACAACTAAATTAGAGAGAGAACTAACACAAAGGGGCTGCACTGGGAAGGATGGTGACTAGAGAGCTGGTGGCCATTAGCAGATTGTCCATACTTCCATCAAAAAACACATGCTCAGCTAACTCCTCAGGAACGTTTTCTCAAGTGCATTTTGCAAATAATATACTTGGATTCTGTACTGCAAACCCGGGTCCCGCAGCACCCTCTGACCAGCTTTTTATTTGCATAGAAAACTGTAGGCTAAGAAGTTTATTTTTGTATTTTTGTTTGTCTTAGAAAAATACCCTAAATTTTAATGTTTGAAATGGCATTGCCATGAAACTATAATGTCACTGAAATGTCTTATTTGACACAATAAGATTAACGATAAAAATAAAGCTTAGTTTGCTTGATAACAGATGGCAGGGAGTAGTTCCAGAGTAATGTTGTAGAAATTAATTGGTCAGGAGTTTTTCCGGTGAAAGATGGCAGAAATGTTCTGTAAGTCAGTCCTCTGCTAGTTAGAAACACTGTCGTCTTTAAGTTTTCCCCTAATTCAAAGCGTATTGGCGCATGGAAGACACCAGCAGCGCTGGTTTCCTGTCACTTTATGGAAGTTGAACTCCAGCTGAATGAATGGTAAACCATCTTTTGTGGGGGGTTTTTCTCACAAAACTTGTCTTCTGTGAGTCGGTCTTTCATTGCTTAAGCATTCGGAGTTACTAAACCACTGGTATATTTTTACAGGCCCAATTTATGCCGTTTGTTCTAGGCTAGGACGCCACCAAGGTGTCGTAAGGGTTACGGCAGAAACTGTACAAGTTTAAAGGGTGAAACTGACCTTCCCATCTCTGTTGATGTCTGCTCTGCTGCGCTGTGTGCGTGTCTCTGGGGTCTCAGAGGTTGCTTCTCTGTGCGTGAGTGAATGTTAGAATGCGGGCACCGTTTCAGTTTTATTTTCTTGGAGGAAAAATAACACACCAAGAATTAAATGGACTTTGCAGACGTTGATACATGAACCGAAATGGCGGTGGTTGTGTGTGCGGCCGGCCAGCTGCCTCTCGGCTGGCACGGCTCTTCGGGATGTAGGACTGGGAGTTCTTCACGTGATACTAACGTGTGTTCTCCTGATTGCTGACCTTGGCCAGTTGTTAGTTGTCTTGACACAACCTTCTCTCAGGCATCAGCCGCCCCTCCTTCTGGTCTCAAACGTTTGGGTCCATCGAGGCAGCCAAGGGCTTTCCATTCTCAGCCAAGTCCAGACAGCTCGTCCCCACGCCTCCTCTCTAGCCGAGTGTGACTTTCAGAGTACTCGGGCTCACTTTTCTGCCTGGAACCCCGGACCCATTCCATGATGTGATGGAAAACTTCTCAAACCAGGATTGCCGAGTGAGAGCATCCCGCCGTCTGTGGCGGCTCCGGACGGGCTGTCTGGGACCCAGAGCACGGCTCTGCCAGCGCGGGGGACGGGGGTGGGGACGCCCCCCCATCCAGTGTCACCCCTACAGCATTTACTGGAGGAAAATACACTCCTCCCTGCCTTGCCTCCGTGTGGCCTTATTCTGTGGAGCTAGTGGAGCCGTCCTGGTAGAAATCTCGTAGGAAGCGGAAGCTTTGCTTCCATCTCTGCAAACGTCCATGTAATTCTGCAGTCCGCTGTCACTCCAGCCGCTAACTTTTACTTAGCTGCTCTCACAACAAAGAGAATTTTTATGTGTCGATAACATTTCACTAAGTGTAAGGATGAGCACTTACGCTGGGTGGGGGTGAGCTTCTGTCACGGTGCTGAAGTTCGGGGGCCGGAGGGATCATGCTGTCACTCTGGTCAAGATCTCTTGTTTGTTGAAACCGAAGTGAGCGGTAGATGTCGCGGCAGAGAATCACTTTCTGGCTGGCTGAAGAATTTCTCTTTGTGCTTTGTTTTCAGAACCCCCGGCCCCAGGAGAGCCGCGCGGTGTTCAGCGGCTCCGTCAGTATTCCCTCCATCACCAAATCCCGCCCTGAGCCCGGCCGCTCCATGAGCGCCAGCAGTGGCCTGTCAGCGAGTAAGTGCCACCCGGGGGTCCCCCGCACCCCCTGCCCCGCTGTCGCCTTCCTCACGCGCGCGCGCTCCCGGGGTGGCCTAGTGAGCACACGAGCACCTGTGGAGAAAACCATCACGGGCTCTGTTCGAGCTCACGGTGCCCCCAGGAGACGGACACTTCATACCACAAGCTGTGGTGATCGAGGCTCTGAAGGAAATAAACGGGCCACCGTCTCGGAGTAAGGAGGTGTAGCCGTTGGGGACGAAGTCACACTGAGGGGAATTAGGAGGGTCACGGGCCCTCCCTCGGGGTGAAGCCCTGTTGGAGTCGTGTTTGATGACTTGAGAGAAGGCCAGTGTGGCTACCTGGTGGCGGTCAGACAGAGACCCGCAGATAACACACGAGTGGTGGGCAAGGGGCCGATCAAGCAGGGTCGTGCAGAGCAAGCTGAGAATTTTTATTTTATTAGAAACGCAACCGGAAGCCTCTAAAGATTTTGAAGGAGGGAAGGACCTTTATCCAGTTTACATTTTTAAAAAACATCCCTCTGACTGCCGGATGGAGACTGGACACAGGGCAAGAGTGGGGCGCGCATCCTGGTGGGGCTGTCCGAGTGGCCGGCGGAGGGGACAGGCCTGGGGGACTGCGGTGGAGGAGGGGAGAAGGGAGACACTCTGGGGTTAAAACAGGCCTGGCAGGGAGTTAGCTATGGGAGGTGAGGGACAGGGAAGAGTTTCAGGTGACCCTTGGTTTCCTGTGGGAGCAGAGTGGGGCCAGGGTTCTAGAAGGTTCAAGATCATAGCCAGTGCACAGAAGGGGAGGATGTTTGTCCGGTGAACATCCAGTAGACGGCAAGTCTTCCACTGGGGCGCAAGGGGGACAGTCTCTGTGACCGAGCACCTGTGCTCACACGGCTTGCCGTCCCTATTGTCCGCCTCTCTCCTTTCACCCTGAGCCTCAGCACCTCTTGCACTCTGCACAGAACCCTGGGCTCGGGGGCCGAGAGAGGAAACTCGGCCCCGTGCTGGGCTTCCGCTCTGCTGTAGCAGGGAGCGACTTCGGGGCAGCAGGGCGTCACGGGGGGTTCACTGTCTGCCTGAGAGAAGGTGCCTGGCCACTAACAGCCGCCTGCCTCGGAATGAGAGGGGTGGAGAGGCAGCGTCTGACTGATGGCAGCAATTAGAAGTTAGTCTTGTTGAATTCAGAGATCGTTGGTAGTTCCTGGATCATAAGCAGGGAGCTACGTCACACACTCATCGTGGCTTCCCCAGTCAGGGGAAGATCGCTTATAGCCAAGGGCTGCTTTTCTGACACTTTCTCAAAAGCAGCATGGTGTTGGCCAAGAGCTCGGAGGTTGTGAGTGGGGGACACCCCAGAAGTGCAGATGCATCCATCATAACCATGTGTGGGGCTGAGGCAGCCACCTCTCCAGGAGGGCCACAGTGAGGAGCCTCTGTCCCTGCTCACTGTGCCCACCCACCAGGTCTTCACGAACCCCGCAGGCGTGGCCTCCTTGAGGTCCTTAGTAAGAGGAAGGCCCTCCCAGGAATCCCAAGGGGCATCTGCTGCGTCAGGTGCCTCCTGCTGGCTTTGAGAACAATCCAGCTCGTGAGAAGGTTCCAGAAGGTTCCAGAGGACAGCTAGCTGAGAGAGACACAAGAAGTAATAGGGAACCCTGTTGTCTGTCTCCAGAACCAGAAGCACAGATCTTCCAGAGCCAGACTTGGGATGGCTTCACAATGTGAAGTAAAAGCCACACGGGGATTCCCACCGTGGCTCTGTCCTGCTCCCCGCAAGGAGGAGGACCCAGTCTTCCCATCAGCGGCAGGCTTGCTAGGGAGCCTGGCCTCTCCTGAGGTCATGCAGACTCAGACACCTCGCCACCTCAGCCAGCGCTCTTTAGAAGAGGCCGCGCCTGAGTGTATGGCCTCAGTCAGCCGGGACCACGGTCCTCAGACTGTCCCCAGGCCCCTTTTGCTGGTCAGTCAAAATAGCCCTGCTGTCACGTGTTAACACCAGAGTGGAGGCAAGGAGATGGCAAACGGCGGGCAGCCCTCGCAGGCCCCGGTGTGCACCTGTGGGTCACACCATGTCCTCCGTGTACCCAGGGCTGTTGTTCCCCCAGATTCCCATACGGGAGAAGTTGTTCTTGTGTCTCCAGATGGAACTGACACTCAGGTAACAGAGCCTGCTCGAGGCCACGCAGTCAATAAGCAGAGCAACAGAAGCCTCTGGCGGTGTGGATTTCTATTCAGAATGACAAAACTTACGCAAAAATAAAATACCATTTCCGTGACACTGAAGCAGGCGCGGGACCAGGTGCGCCTTCAGGAAGGCCGTGACTCAAAGACCCAGAAGAGTCCCCTCAGCAAAGTAAGGCGTGCCTCCTCAGCGGCCGTGAGGAGCAGCGTGTGTCTAGTGAGAGACCCTGTGCGGCAGGCGCTGGGGGCAGCTTCCCGGGGAGCAGGAGGCCCCTGGCTCCCAGCCTGAGGTGCATTCCAGAATCCCCACAAGAGGCTTGAATAGGGAACTCTGAAGTTCCGCCACGATAGGGCCCAGGCACGGGCATTCCTAAGCTCCACGACACATGCCCGGTGTCCACACGGCGCTGGGAGCTAGGGTAAGAGTCATTACGGTGACACACGGGCCACCTGCAGCCGAGGGGGCCCCAGAGGGAAGCGGCCAGGAGTCGCCAAGCACAGGCGCGTCAGGCAGGTTCCTGTCTGCGTAGATGAGCACCCCCGCGTGTCCGTGGTCGTGAGGTACTTGAGGTGCTCGACATGGTCCTCTTGACGCTAGTACTGAATTCTTAGTGTAAAAACACAGTCTGGATCCTGTATGAAAACCTCAGCAGCCTCTTTAGACCCATGGTCTTAATATGGAAGCTCAGGAGGATTAAAATGTTTTTTAAGCAAAAGCTTAAGGAGGAATACTGAGAGCTTTATATAGGTACGAACAATTCCCCAGTATTTCCAAGGGGTTTTTGTCATCCTTTTCCCTCCTCCGAGTGGTGTTGGCCCCTCCTTTGGGTGCCTCAGCTCTGAGACCAAACTAGAGTATGAATTTGAAGAAACTCACCTCACTTTTGTATTCCAGGCTTTTTTCCCTGTGGAATGAAAATGCTTCTCTCCTGTCCCTTTACTTTTCATGCAAATTCTCCAGCAGTGAAGTGATGGCTGCAGAGGCCAGTGGCCTTGAGAAACGGTGTCCCTCAGCAGCTGGCCCCAGGGTCTGCCCAGGTCTCCCCAGTCCGCGCGCTTTCTACAGGGCGATCCCCTTGTCTGTCCGTGTGCGAAGCCTTACCTGAGTGCCGTCCCGCAGGGTCCTCTGCACAGAACGGCAGCGCGTTAAAGAGAGAATTCTCCGGAGGAAGCTACAATGCCAAGTGGCAGCCCATGCCCTCCCCGTCAGAGGGCTCGTTGTCTTCTGGAGGCATGGACCAGGGAAGTGACGCCCCGGCCAGGGACTTTGACGGAGAGGTGAGTGGGGTGTGGGCAGCGTCAGCGTCTGACCCGGAGAAGTCCTGTGTAAAAGGACTCGTGCCTTACCGCAGTGATGCCACCACCTCGAGAGTGGCCTCCGCTGCAGCCAGGGGTCAGGACTCAGGAACACGCTTGGCAGGAGGCGGGTTTGGGGGGTAGGTTCTGGCACGACTGGTCGCCTGGGCTGCGCACTACACTATGGCACAGATGTTCTAACAGCTTCTGTGACAGGGACCCACATTTCTAAAGTCCTACAGAAAGGGCTGAACATTGGCTATATTCTCTGCCCTTTATTGGCCTCAGGAAAGGGGCTTCGTTAGCGACAGTAGACCATTCACACCAGCTTACTTGCTCGGGGTGGCCGCAGGTCACCTGTGAGGGGCTGAGCGCCTCCCGTGCCTCTCCGTCTCACGAACGTCCTCTCGGGGCCCCACAGGACTCGGATTCCCCGAGGCACTCCACAGCTTCCAACAGCTCCAACCTGAGCAGCCCGCCCAGCCCAGTGTCGCCCCGGAAGACCAAGAGCCTCTCCTTGGAGAGCACCGACCGCGGGAGCTGGGACCCGTGAGTGGCTTCGGCGCTCAGAGCGGACGCCAGAGCAGCTTCTCCCTCTCGGCCCCTCCACTGCCCTGTCTCCACGTCCATCCCCCGCCCCTGCCTGGAAGGCCCAGGGCCGGTGGCAGGAGCAGGGTGGGGGCTTGGGGACGCGGACGATCGCACCTGCAGCCCCAGCTCCCTGCACCGCCCCCCCCAACTTAACAGCAGCAATCATCAAGGCAGACTTCCACTGAACAGCTTCGATGAGTATCGATTCCATTTCATACACTCAGAGTCGCTTCCCATCATCGTGTCCCCCTCCCGAAGGTAGCTCGAGTAGACAGACCTCGCAGACGTGCGCGGGAAGAGCGTCAGGCAGACGGTTTCCACGGCAGAGTCTCGGCGCCCCGGGCAGCGTGCGGGTCCCCCCGCCGGCCTGCGCCCTCCTCCAGCGCCCACAGCCAATGTCGACCTGATCGTTGCCAGTAAATCCTTATTCACTAAAACAGTGCATATTTTACTACAATACAGAGTTTAAATAAGTACACAAATGTAGAGGTTAAATACTGAATGTATATAGTAAAAAGAAGCATCTTGTATTCAGCAAAAGATGGATTCCTATATAAGAGAGAGATCATTTAATTTAAAGAAATGTGTTGTTTCTCGTCTGTTTTCCAGCTAAGTAATTTAAAGGGTAGGAAGGCCTCAAGCTGACATTCTAGACCTCAGTAGATGGAGAGCGCGGAGAGTCAGAGTTCCCTCTGGTCACCGCCACGGTCCCCGGGGGCTTTAGGAAAACATTCCGAAACCCGGTCCAGCCGCTCTGGGCTGCGGCCCGAGCCCAGGCTCAAACCCTGGAAGCCTCTTCCTTGGCAGCGTCAACAGGCAAATTTACTTCCAGGTCTTTCGGTAGCGGTAGAATTTGAACCACACTCCTCAGTTTTTACTGCATTTTGGTATCTCCTGCAGACGAACGTAGAAATGCGATCACCTCCTGGCCCTTCCGCTGAAAGCGCGCAGGGGAAGTCGTGGCTTCTGAAGGTCCCTGAAATGCTTCCTACGCGTCCTTTCCCCGGGGGCTAACCCTGTTTCTCCCTGCGTTGCCACGAGGTATCCTGGGCCCGGCCCCCCTCAGAGAAGCCTGAGAGTTTAATTACCAAATAATAGAAAACCTCAAATGCAAGGACTTGAACAGCCTTAACCAAATACTCTTTCCCGCCCCCGGTGGCAAAGAGAAGTGGGGCCGCCAGGCAGGGGCCCCCACGGCACCCCTGCTGTTCCCGCCGAAGCGAGCGCACATCCCGGAGGCCCGCAGTTCTTCACAGTTAGTTCCCAGTTAAGCACATGAGCAGAGAAAGAGAAATAAAAATATCTCATGGGAGTAAAGAGAATCTGGCTCGCTTCCTTTTTGTCTAAATTTCTCAGAACTAGCAGTGAGCGCGCACTCAGCTTCGGTGAGCGTGAACCGTGTCCCCCTGTGGCGCCTGCTTCTCAGCCCCCGAGGCCCGGCGCCGGGAGAGAGGACCCGCGGGGCCGCCTGTGCACGCGGACGACTGCCCATCCTCTCTCCAGCTTTCCGCTTTAGGGACAGGCGTGTCGTGTGAGATGGGGTTGGGTCGCCAAAGATCAGACCTTGAGCTTGGTTGCCCCCCAGGACCCCGTAGCCCTGCGAACTTGGCACTTTCCTGAGGCGAGGGAAGCCCGCCACCAAGGGCCTGTGGCCAGCTGCCTCCTGTCCTCCTGACCCTCCCTGGCCCCTCGCCAGGGAGTCACAGGACTCCGCGCTAAGCCATTCGTTGAAGCTTCGACAACTACGTGTGGGATTGTGTTGCCTGTAGGTGCTTATTTTCCAGAGGATGCTTTTAGGATCCAAGCGTCCCCCTGCCTGAGGTGCAGAGAACACTGCAGTGAGTCACAGCAGAAAGGAGAGAGCCCCCAAAGGCAGTGATGACCCAGGGACCTGTCCCCTGGCACTTTCCGGTAGGTCCCTAGCAGTCGCGAGTCGTCGTAGAGCAGCCCCGGATAGGACCCATCCTGACGGCAGGAGTTTGGAGGAGAAACAGTGCCACGGGGAGCAGCTGGGCGGGGTGGGGGGCGGCTCTTCCTGCGATAATGACCCTTCTGGGCTTATCCCCTCTCAGGTACGAAGCAGTTACCAGCAGAAGCTTCTGAGAAGAATGGTCTGCAGAAGGCAGGGGATGGGTGCCAGGGAAACGGGAAACCTGATGTTTCAGAGGGGTCAGGAGCCAAGATCAGGGAGGAGGTACTGCTGCCCCGAGCCCTGCTGTCTCCTCTTGCGGGACCTTTTAAACTCGCACCGGGCGGCAGGTGCACTGTGCGTTTCACCGTAGGAAGGACAGACCGGTGAGACGCTTCTCGGATAGTCCGTGTGTGTTGGTACTTGGTGCTCTCTGTGTGCAGCCAATTTGTTGTCTACCCTTGAATTCTAACGAGAAGTCGTGTGTGCTCTGGGTATATAAAAATTACATATATACATATATTTCTTTTTGCCAAAAACAAAAGCCTTCCTCCTCGTCAAGTGCTCGCTAAAGTAAATTTCACTCTCGGGGCTCTCGGCCCACGCACACACCCCTGCGTCAGCGACGCTCGCCCGGTGGCGGGAGCACGGTGGGAAGGGTCGGGGCCGGAGCAGGAAGGGCCCGCCTGTTCGGGGCCCTGTTCGGTTTCCCACGCGGTTCTCACACCCAGGCTTCTGGGAAGAATCCGAAATCCCTGTTATGTTTACAGCAACAATCTGTCGTTCCTGGCTGGCTCTCAGCCTCCCTCTGCCTTCCGTATGGGTGCAGTCCTGTCGTTTTGCTGCTCCGTGGCCACGTGGACTTCTGTGAAAGCCCGGCTGCACTTCGGTGCCCTCTCGGGGCTCCTCCAGAAGAGCCCGGGACGGCGCGGCGGGCGTCGCCAACGCCCGGCCGGCAGGGCCATCTGTCTGTCCGTGGCGGCAGTCACTCACGCTGCGGCCTCCCGGCTGGGCAGACAGGGAAGCAGTCGGCCCCCGCGCGCCCCGGCCCGGCCCCCGAGTGCGCAGGGAAGCCGCATGGCGCGCCGCGCCCGGTGCACCTCCTCCCTTGTTCTGACTTGATCACGAGCCCGGATTCTCCGCAGAGTCCGTCCGGATCGTGGGGACCGGCTTCTGCTGGAGCCTTCGGCCCCTTAGCGCTGGCCGGCGGGCCGGCCCTTCCCCCTCTCCCAGGGACGAGTGCCACACACGAGGAGCCACGTCACTTATGGGGGTGACTGACGAGAACAAACCTGGAAACTTCATGAAACAAATTTACCTGCTTTTTTATTTGATAGTGTAATATCATTTATTTTATAAATTTTTTAGGGTTTTTTCCTCATTGTAATATTATTGTACAGTTTTGCATGGCCTAGGTGTAATCATTTTTTTTTGTTTAGAATATAATGCTGACAAATCTGTGGATGGAAGGGAAACATACTGCTTTGGCCTATTTCCTTTTGTTCGGTTTTATGCCCTCGATGTCTTAGGGAGGTTTATAAGCGGTTCTCTGCTACCAGACAATGGTGTGGATTCTTTTGCACAGAAATATTTAAGGTGGGATGGTCAAAAATGTAACAAGACTCCTCGCCAATATTTTATGTTGGTATCACTTAATATTAACCAGAATTTGATGTATTGCAATAAAACAGGGAGCTGTTAGACCTGATGGTCTTGTCTTCTTTCCCTGATGGAAAGGTCTGAGCCGTGGAGGAAAGGTGACTGACTCTTCTCGTCTTCCTAGATCCTGCTTCCTGCCAGGCCCCCTCCTCATCCAGGGCCCGCCTTAGCCTGCGGAAGGATGCGGGAGTAGTTTAACCGGGGACTTTTCCTAGTTCTACCCTGTAGCTCAGGTAAGGGCGGCATTCCGTTCTCGTCCGGCCAGCATTTCCAGAACGCGCATCAGGCCGTGAGTGAGGCCTGGCCTGCTCCGTGTGCACCTGCCCCGCGGGGGACCCTCCGCACAGCCAGACACCCCTGACCCCCACCCGCCGGTTGTCGCATCTGCCTGCTCAGACCAGATGGCAGGCTGGTTTGCTGTCTGCTGTTTGCGGGCCAGCGGCAGACCCTTCGGGTACGTTAGTGTCTACTCTGGTCCCTGACTTGGTCAGAACGGCCCCTCTGGGGAGGCACGGCCAGCCCGCGCCAGAGGCAATACGAAGCCGGCTGCGCCTGGTCACCCTGAGGGCCCCTCCCTGGTTCCGGGTCACACGCAATGACCTTCCTGACCTTTCTTGGCGGGTCACTGCTCTGTCAGGGCGCCTTGCGGGAGAGACAGTAGCGCGGCAGGTGAGCGTGAGCTTAGCCAGCTTTCCGTTAAAGGCCAGTGAAAGCTTCCACTTTGCGGGCTTTGTGGCCACTCTCGTGGCCCCACATGGCCTTAGCGTGGGAACAAATGAGCGCAGCGGTGTCCCCAGATGAAGACTTGTGCACGTAGGCAGAGGGCCCGACCGTGGACCACTTTGCCGACTCTTGGGGAGCAGAGAGGGAGCTCGGGCTGTGTGGCTGCCCTCCTCGTTCCAGGTCCTGAGTCCAGGATCCCAACCTTCAGCAGCCACATTGCTCCTGTACCCTGCCAGCCCCCGAATGTCCCAGAAGGCAGAATATATGTAAAAAATGCACAAAAACGGCCTTCCAAAGGGCCGTGACTGCTCTGACAAGGGTTCAGAATAGGTGGCATCAGGCGCCAGGCCCCCAGCTGCTGTCACGGAGACCAGTCAGACCTCCCATCCTGTCCTGGAGCGGTCTCCCCGCGTCCTTCACCCCCTGGTGCACCTGTCGGGGTCCCGCGGCAGGGCTCCCCGATGCCCACGCTAGTTTGCTGCGGGGAGGCATCCCCCAGCCGCAGCCTCTCCCCCTGGCAAGCAGGCCAGGCAGTTGGCTCTTCCGTATGTGGGGTGGGGTGCAGGGGGCATGTGCCGGCCACCCCCTCCTGGAAAGGAATTTGGGCTGAGTGTCCAGATGCATCTGGAGGTGGTCTGGAGTGTGACATGACCTCGGGCTGGTCCAGAGGTGGTCTGGAGGGGGACATGACCTCGGGCTGGTCACCCATCAGCTCGGTGCCCACTAAGTATAGAGAAATTCACACCACAATGCTAAGAGGGTGCATTTTTGTCTTTTTTAATATTGAAACAAATCAGACAGTTACAAGAATTGTACAAAAAGCCCCTGGGCCTGGAGGGGGAAAGCGGGGCCTCCACACACTGACGTCTAGCACGGACTGCTCCTGACCCCTTCCACAGGTCCAGAAACTTCCACTTGTCCAGAGGGCACAGCCCAGCCCAAGAGCAGGCGGGGCCTCACGCTCGGAGACAGGCTGGAGCAGAGGGCACAAAACAATCTAGAATCACACAAGCCTCATCCTCTACGTACGTCCAGTAAAATCCAACAAGGCTTCTCCGTATTTCTGGGGGCAGGGATCCCCCGGCAGGCCCGCCCCCGCTCCACTAGCGTTCACAGGACGGAAACCCGCCGCCAAGGGAGGAACCTGCTGTCGGGTCTCTGCTTCGTGCAGAGGCTGCGCACACGGGGCAGCCTGCCCGGGGCGCCAGCGGGCGCGGGGCTCAAGCGGAGGGCCGCGCCGCCTGCCGCTGGTAGTTGCTGTAGGCCTCCTCGAACATGGCCTTGCAGGGGAAGCGGGCCTTCAGCTTGGAGCAGATGAGGAAGGAGCCCCCCATCTTCCTGTGCAGGGAGTAGGTCTCCTCGGGGGGCGGGACGAGCCGGTGCTTCAGCATGATGGGGATCAGGTTGTGGATCTTCTCGGTGGTGCTCTGCGTGCCGAAGTCGAAGGGCTCCTCCGAGGCGAAGGCCTCTCCCAGGATGAGGATGGCGTCCAGGTGGGCGTCCTCCATGGCCTGAAGCGGGGTGCAGGGGGTGGGTGGGCCCGTGGCCCGGCCCAGAGCTCTCCCAGCAGGCGGCGTTGAAGGGGAGAGGCTCAGGGGGGCATTTCAGTATTAACTGACGTGACGGGCCCCGTAGCTGGGCCAGGGGAGCCCGCTGCGCGCCTGGGCCCGGGCGAGGCCGGATGGGCGGGGCCCGGGCCCAACATGGGGGCTGAAGCCGGACGCCTGAAGGCCTGGCTGTGGCCTGTGCACCCCTCTAGGGGGAGAAGGGGAAAGGGCTGCTCTCGGGGAATTCCGGTGCCAGTTCAGGGCACGGGAACACAGACTGGCACCACCCATTTAAAGCGCTGAAGACCTGGCTCCAGCCCCTACCGGGCCACCCAGACCTCGGAAGGGGGGTCGGGCTGTGCCATCCGGCCCCAGCTCCAGATGTACTGGCCTGCGAGAGGGCTGCCGGCCTCCCGACCCTCCCCGAGGCTCCACTCACGCCCTCACCCCGCCACGCCCAGGACCTCGATGGAGGAGGGGTCAAGGGAGGCCTGAGGAGAGGCCTCGAGGGTAGCAGCCAAGGTCTGGGGAAAAGCAGCCCTACTGCCCACCCTCCCCACACACGGGGGCCTGCGGAGCCCAAGAGGCCGTGGGGAGCTGACCTTGACCTCGTAGCCAGTGAGGAACTTCATCTCGATGGACTTCTTCAGCACCGCCTCCCTGTCCCTGTCAGCAGCTGCCCTGATGATCTGGGCGGACACCCGGGAGGGACTGTGAGTGGCAGGGGAGGAGGTGCTCCCGGCGCGGCCAGGGAGCCCAGTGGCCAACCCCCCCACCCTTGTCCCCTTTGCTCCTTCCAAGCCCCCGGCCTGTGAACCCAACGGCCTCCTCTCGACCCACAGTCACTGGGGGTGGGGGGAACAGCAGCCCCGTCATTCCCCACTTATAGTGTCCCCAGGCCGACCCCAGGCCCCGGCGCCGGCCAACCTGAATGTAGAGGTCGGTAAAGGATCGGTCATATTCCCGAGTCGCCCCGAAGTCCAGAAGAGCCACCTGGGAAGGGGCAACACCTCAGAGGTTTAGCCTGGTGGAGAAGGGGGCCAAGACCCCCATCGCAGACCGCTCTCCCATGCAGCTCCTGTGGGCTCACCTTGTGCAACTGAGGGTCATAGAAGAAGTTGGACCAGTTGGGGTCCGTCTGCATGAAATGGAACTCGAAAAGCTCCCTCAGGCACAGGACCAGGATGTTGTAGCAGATCTGGGGGGAGGGCAGCGGCAGCCCCAGTCACGGCAGCGCCAGGCCAAGTCTGGGGCCTGGGAAGCCCCCTCGCATCCTCCCCACTCCTCGGGTCGCCCCACCCACTGCCCACACGGGGACTCCTGACTCCAGGTTTTCCCCGGCAGGGGGAACACAACAGCCCTCTCTGGCCCTTCATCCCCACAAGGGCACTCGGCGCCCAAGACCACGGTCACACACACCTCGTTCCGGATCTCCTGGCTCAGCCCCTCCGCCTGGTCCAGGGGGAAGCCGGACACCAGCTCTGTGGTCAGCACATGGGGGCTGCACAGCTCATCCACGATCTCGGGCACGTAGAAGAAGGGGTGGTCCTTCAGCAGCTCCCTGGTGGGCAGTGGGGGGGGTCACCCTGGCACCAGAGCCTCCCCACCCCCCATCCCGGGGATGACACTGGGCCATGACCACCGCCACCCACCCTTCAGAGCCACGGGGGTCTTCACCACCCTCCCCAGGGGCCTACTACCCCGAGCCGCCCGTGTTCTCCCCTGTGGGAGCCACTAGTCATGAGCCACACCTGAACTTCCGGGCGCAGGCGGCCTCCCGCTGGTAGTCACACTCCAGGGCCAGCTCCCGCCTCAGCACGTCAATCAGGTGCTCGGGGAACAGGCCTGCGCCGGGAAGGAGGAGGTCAGCGGGGGCTGAGGGCTCCCCAGGGTCACTCCCATGGGTCCCCAGAGCCCATCCCGCATGCCTGCCCTTGACCCGCAGCCAGTCTCAGACCTTCGGGAAGCATGTTGCTCATGTTCAGCACAGCCATGAGGTTGTTGACGTCACTATTGATGCTCTGGGCCACGCCGGGGTACTGTGGGAGGAGCAGGGGGGTCTCGGGCAGGCGGGGCCGGGCCATGCAGGGGAGCCCTGCTCTCCCAGCCCAGTCCCACCCCCAGACCCCATACTCGGGTAAGTGACAGATAATGATGCTACGATGCTACCAGAACCCGCCCCCAGGTCCCTTCATGACTTCTTTCTCCATGTCTGTCCCCCACAGCAGCCAGAGCCCCCCCAGCAGATGCTTGCTTGTCCCCTGGCCCCGCCCACACTAAGCTCGCAGGGAGGCCATTCTACCCGCGCCGCTCAGCAGGTCCTTCCCAGGGCGGGTGCTGAGCAGACCCAGGCATTGCCCTGAAGACGGGGGTGCGTGCAGGGGTGCAGGGCACAGAGGCCCCAACACTGCAGGGCCTTAGCCCGGCCCTCTGCAGCTCCCCCGGGCGTGGAGGCACACACCGGCTGCCTACCTGGATCTTCATGGCCACCTCGCGGCCACCCTTCATGCGAGCCAGGTGCACCTGGCCGATGGAGGCAGCCGCGAAGGGCCTCTCCTCGAAGTACTCCAGCTTGTCCCGCCAGCCGGGGCCCAGGTCATTGTTAAGCGTTTTCTGGCGAGAGGGGTCAGGGAGGGGCCGTAAGTACAGCCCATGTGCGGGACACCCCGAAAAGCACCCCCAGGCTGCACCCTCCTACAGACTGCTGCAGCTGCCCCCCAAGGCAGGGGGGAGGGGCAGAGGACCCAGACAACCCACCCCCCAGGCCCCGTCCGCACACCGTCATCTGCTTCAGTGGCATGAAGTCCGCGCTCTGCCTCACCCGCTCGAAGATCTTGGCCAGGTGGGGGTTGATGAAAGCATCATCTAGAAGGTACCAGAAATTAGCAGAGGGCTAACCCCTCAGAGAGCAGGCGCAGGGGTCAGGAGCAGAGCAGCCCCCTCCAGGGCCCCCAGGGCCATGGATAGAGGCTCCAGGGAAGACACAGGGCCACGGGCTGGGCTGGGCTGCGCACACTCCGGACACACCACAGCCAACAACGGAGGCCGGAGCCAGCCTCTCCCCAGGGCGCAGAGGGCATCTGCGCACCCCAAGGGCCCCAGCATGGGGCAGCAGGGGCTCACCCAGGGACCTGAGAAAGTGGATTTCTTAGAAATAACAGGCAAAGCTTTTTAGGGTTACAGAAGGAGCAAATTTCAGAAATAAAGCAGAGTAAGATCCCAGACACACCCAGAACCTGGCCACCTAGAGAGAACCGTTGTTTTTCCCTTCAGACCAGACCCTATGCCTAATGTGCTGCTTTGGAGCCGTGGTGGCTCCGCCCAAGGCCGCCCCGGTCAGCTTTCCTCCCACGGTGGTGGCCCACAGTGGGAGTGTGGCTGCGGTGGCAGTGTCAGTGTTCCGAAATGATTTGCCGCAAACTGTGGGCAGGAGAGCCACGTCCTGCACACAAGTCCCGCGAGCCGACGCCTTGGCCCCCTGCTGCCCGCTCTGGACCGCTCCCGTGTGTCGGGCCGGAGGCGGCTTCCGGGCAGCCGGGCGTGCATCTCTGACCCTGGCCGTGGAAGGAGTCTCCACGTGGGGGTCCTGGGCTCAGACACACCCTGCCTGCCCTGGGGATTAACGCCATCCCACGCCCTCCCGGGAGCCCCGCTGCACACCCACAAGGGGACTTGTCTTCAAACCCCCTTCCCTGCAGGAGCCAGGCCTCTGGGGCACCCCCACCGCGGCCCCTGGCCCTTCTGCTCAGCCACCTGTCCCGGCCTTCCCTGCTGAGGCCCACACACCCCATGTCCCCAGCATCCTGCCACGACAGGCCTGCGCCGCCCCCCAACACCCACGCGAGGCAGCAGGGGCTGCGGACAGCAGCAGGCTCTCACCAGCCTGCGAGAGGCCGGGACCACCTCTAGGTGCCGAACACCCCCAGGGAAGCAAGAGCAACCACCACGGACGCCCACTTTAAGGTCTTTGAAGATCCCGGCTGGTCAACAGCCAGGACAGGAGCGAGAGGGGCCGGTGGCGGGGGGCACACCCACCCCTCCCAAGTGGCCCCCCGCCATGCACTCACCCTGGATGCTGAGCATCTGGCCCAGCTTGAGCGCCGCCCCGCGCACCTTGCACAGCGTGCGCACGATCCGCTCCGCGTTCGCCTCCGACAGGAAGGGGCTGGAATCCAGCACGGCCTTCTTCCCTGCGGGCAGGAGCCGGGTCAGCGCCGCCTGCTGTCCCCTCCCGGGGCGTCCGCAGGCCTCACCCGGTCCACCCCAGGCCATGCAGCGAGAGGAGGACGGGGCTGGGGCTGGGAAGCCATGAGCGCCCGTGGGGCAACTGCAGCTTGTCTCCTCACTCAGCCCGGGAAGTCAGGGAGCTTGGGTGCACCCAGCGCCGTCCCCAGGCTCCAGCCTCGTAAAAACAGGGACGATACAGAACTTCGGGGGGTGGGGGGGCTCTCAAGTGCAGCATGAAGGAACGGGCAGGAACTGACACAGGCTCCAGCCTCCTGAGCACCCCCGAAACCAGCAATGCAACTAACACTCCGGGGTGTCATGCAACCCACCCACCCGAGGCTGTGCAAGGTCCTCCAGGGCCACGCGGGTCTCCCAGGCCTGACCGGCAGCTGCCCGACGTATGCACGCACACGCATTTACACACGTGGAGCCCTTTCCTCGGGATCTGTCCCCGGGGCCTGATGGGAGCACCACGGAAGGCCATGGTCAGTGGCACGTAGGGAACAGGCACTAGGAGGGAGGGACCTGGAGGGACCCATGTGAGGTCCCCGTCACTGTCCCTCCCCCTCACGTACAGGACAAAGGTCATCTGTATCCCTGAGATCACAAGGCAAGCTAGCTGCGGGAGGGGGCCGTTGGCCGGGGACAGAGCACAGGGGCAAGGACAGCACTCGGCCAGCTGCTGTCTGCCTTCCCCCTCAGCCTGCGGAGGCGCACAAGGTGCAGTAACCTCAGGGGTGCAGATGACCTTTGTCCACTACGACCAGGGGTGAGGACACAGGGGGGCTGCTACCGTGTGGCCACAGGATGTCAGGGCCCATTCTGGCGTCCATCCACTCACCCCAACCCCAGCACGGCCCAGCCCCAAAACTGAGTCAGCCCTGGTCAGAAGGCCTCCCCGCCAGCTCCTCCAGCCCTGGGACACCTGCTGCTTTCCCTGCACTCTGTCCTGTGAGCCTGGTTAGATCTGTGCCCATGGCTGTCCCCCACGGTACCTCGCACTGTCCTCAGCCCACATCATCACAGGCCGGGCCCAGTGCTCGGAGCGCGGGAGCCACGTCCTCCAGGAAGGAACAGGTCGGGTGGCCAGTGTGCTCCCGCCCTCCACCCCCGGGTGCTGCGTCCAGCCTGGCCTCTGACATATTGGGGGGGGTGAGGGGGGCAACATGGGCACTAAATGGGAACTAAGCCCCAGGGACACTCAGTTTGCAAACAAGAAGCTCCCAAGAGCACCCGTTGATCTTCTGCCCTCCCCACCCCGAGGGCAGTTGCACAAGGCCGGATCCGCCCCAGAAGCTGGGCCAAGAAGGGGCCCCACATCACCCCTTGCCCTGAGTCAGAGCTGAGGGAAGGGGGGGACCCTTCTGTGTGCACTGCCACCCCCCAGCCCCTGGGCCCCTGTGGAAAGGTGGGGAAGAGGAGGGGAGGGGAAGAGGCCCAGGAGGAGGCAGAGCTGTGCTTCCCGCACACACAGTCTTAGGCCGCCTGCAGCGCTCCTGAGACGTGGGGACGCAGCCCCTCTCCACGGCCCGGAGGTAGGTGCTCCCGCCTGGGCATGGCCGGTTCTGAGAACCGCCTGGTAGAGCCGGGCCATGGTGGGCGGCCCCCACTCAGGAGAGGCTCTGCTGGCACCGCCTGAGCTGGGCTGGTCAGTGTCCTCCAGGCCACAGGTTCGAGCCCACTTGGGAGCTGGAATGCAGCCTGGGGGGGTGCCAAGGCCCCCTGACCTTGGCTCTCAGGCCATGGTCCCTAGGCCCCTGGACCCCCAGGCAGGGTCACCACTTCCCTGACGAAGGTCACCAGCTGTAACCTTGGATCCAGTGCTGCCTCTTTTCCGCTTGGCTGAGGTGCCCGGAGAGCAGCCAGTTTCTGGGGGTTGGAGGCGCAGAGAACACAGTCTTTTCGTTCCAGAGAAAGCCAGGCTTCGTTTCCCAAAGTGTCTCAAAGCTGACACTAAAAATACCCTCACTAAACCCTCTCTGTCCTCTGGTCCCTCCTGTTCCAAGGACACTTGATGCGCCCTGGGCACCCCATTCTCAGGCCTGTGGGGACAGCCCAGTGCCTTCTCTCCACAAGGCCCCTCGTCCCCACCGGAGGGTCTTGCAGCCGAAGAGGGGCCGTCCAGGTGTGAGGAAGGCCCTCCTCAGGGTCCCTAGCCTGGGCTCCGGGGGTCTCCATGCAAGAGCATGGTGGGGTGTCCCCCACATGGCCTGAGAGCCAGTCTGCCGAACCTTCTCCACGGAGTCCTGCCCCAGCCTTGCCACCCAGGCTGGGGGGACTGATGGTTGTGAACTCACAGGTTGGGAGGCAGGGGACAGAGGTCTGGTGCTCACCTCAGAGACCGAGGGCTTGGGGTGAGGGGGGCAGCTGCAGGTCTCGGAGGTGGGGGCAACCGAGGGCCCTGAGGGGCTGGTCCAGCAGCACAGACAACTCCCCCCCCCCCCCAGCAGAGCAAGGCGGCCGCAGGGCCAAAGCCAGTCCGCAGTGGGCAGGTGTGCTGGCCGCCGGAGGAGCCGGGGGGTGGGGGGTGGGGGGCGTGGCTCCTGGAGGCCCACACTCCAGAACACGGGGGTCTGGGGGCCGATGGGCGCACCTCCGAGGGCCCAGCTCACCTGAAGGGTCGTCTGGGCGGAGGCTCTTCTTGGCTACCTCAGCCAGTGCCCCAAAGCCTAGACCCACAGCCAGACCTGCAAGGAAGAGAAGAGGTGCTGGGTGCTGGTGCAGGGTCTGCCCGCCGCCCCCCCATCTGCGAGGCCCTGAGCTGCAGCCCCATATGGTCACTGGCTGCAGCTCCCCAGAGACCCTCGCCGACGGTCCCGACGTTCTGAGAAGGGAGAGAGGAGGGACGTGCGCTGTTTCTGAGGCGTGGCGCCTCCGAGCGAGAGCCTCCTCCAGCCCCTGCACGCAGGGCGGCGAAGGCCCTAAGAACGTGCACGAGTGCGACGCGGTTTCCCAGCACAAACCGAACACGGAGCAGCAACGGTCTGCGGGCCGAGGACACCCTGACCCCACAGGCAACCCCCAGAAAGCAGCCAACCGCTTCGGCATGGAGAGCTCCACCGCTAGAATCGCCCTGACCCCACTGCCGCTGAAGGAAAGGCGTCAGTGCGGCGAGAAAGCAGTCGCTGGTGGGAGTCAGAACACTGTGCCAAGGCAAAGGCCAGCATCCCGGGCCCAAGCCGTGGAGACTCACCGGCAGGGCCCAGCAGGTGGACAGTGGTCTGAGGACAATGGGGGCAGCAGACAACGTCTCATCTAAAAAGTGTTTCGCAATCTTCAGAATCAAAGTTCATCCATACCCCTTTTGTCCAGAGATGGGGAGTGCCGACCCCAGCTGGCAGGGAGAGCCACGGAACCCAGCAGGTGCCACGGATGCCACACAGAAAGCCTAGGACCTACAACTGCCTCTACTTGAGGCGCGGTTCTCGCTGGCCGGGGGCACTGTTAGCAGAGAGTGGAGGACACGTGCGTGAGTGCACCGGCCACAGCAGAAGGGACAGCAGGGACCCCTGGCGGATGCAGAAGACCCAAGGCCTTGAGCCCGTGGCAAGGCGGGGCACAGCAGCCCCACGCCCAGAGGCGTGAGCTCCCCCAGGGCCCGCTGCTCAACAGCATGTGCTTCTCTGTCTCCCCAGCTCTGCACAATCATTACTTGTTACTGTTTTGAAAAATATGACTGAATTTATTGAAAATTTATTGAAAATTTTATTTTGCAAAAATTAAGAGCCAACAAACAACAGAACAATAATTTTTAAAACCCAAAGATAACCCAACCTTACAACGTTCTCCTGCAAATCATCTTAGCCGCCCTCAGGCAAGGGTGCGGCTCAACAGCAGGAAGGGGCTCCGGCCCCCTGGGTCGTGGGGAGGACTCAGTCCGCGAGAGCTCCTGGTGAGGCCAGGCCGCGCTCCAGCTTCCTCCGACCGTCACTGCTCCGGTTCAACGGGGCGACAACAGGGCTGCCCAGAGAACAGGCAAGGCCAGCCGCGTGCAGAACGGTACATTTTCTAGAGCCACGGTAAAATTTAAAAAAAAAAAAGCGTGCGAAGTCAATGTGCATCATGTGTTTTATTTAACGTGATACAACTGAAATACTACCAAGTCCCCTCGTGTGTAAAAATTGCCCGAGCTACTTCACAGCTCTGTTTTGGTTTTGTACTGAGTCTTCCGAATCTAGCGTGTACTGGCCGCCCCGTGCGCCGCCGGCTCGGGCCCCGCACGCTCCAAGCACCCACATGCCGCCCAGCGCAGGGTGAGCCGAGCTCCAGCAGCCACAGGAAGAAGCCAGGCACCCAGAAAGGCCATCTGGGTGCCGGGGCTATTTCCACTCAGACCAGCTCCCAAGGGCCGTGGGCCGGGAGCAGCCCTGCCATTAAACATTAACTCCGCGGGGCCACCCGCCCCACCCAGCGAGGTGTCTGCCTTTGCAAAGTGAGTGATAACAAGCAGGGTTAACCGTCAAACCAGTGACCTCCACCAAGGTCTCTGCATCTAGATTCTTCTCCACCTGCATCAAGTCCAAAGACAAGCCTAGGGTTCACGGGCCTGGCCACGCAAGCAGAGGTGCCCACCGCCCCAGCTTCCCTGCCCACTGTCCCCCTCAGAAGTTCTGTCACACCCTTCCCGGGCCATTTCTAGGTCACCCGGCAGGGCCAGAGCTCTCCAAGGACAAGGACCTGTCAAGTTAGATCACAAAAAGAACGTTCCACAAAGATGGCGTTAGGCTCCTTCATGCTGCCCACTGACAGGCCCCCCCACTGCACCAGCCCAGCCACCCTGACCTTGGCCTCAGGAACTCCTGCTCCAGTGAACCAAGAATAACCCGCCCTCCCCCACCAGGCAAGCTTCCAGCCATTCTCAGAGCCTCGCTGAGAGGGAAGCACGAGCCCAGCCAGGCTCTTCCTTCTCCCAGAACCAGGCGGTGCCGGAGGCCTCCGCTGCACCCCCTGAGGCCTGGTGAGGACACCCAGAGACCCACTTGCTCACTCCACATGCAGCCCGTGCCCTTGGGCCTCACTCAGTCCCCCCAGCGCTCAGGGCGGCGCCCCCCTCCACGCTGGGCTGCACCACCCGCCTGGCCCACACCGCCTGGCAGCAAGGCTGCTAGATGACCAGCAGCCCGCGGAGCCGGCTCTGCAGCCCGGGGGCGGCCGTGGCCAGCTCAGCCTTCGTCCTGGCCGGCGGGGAGGGGCCACCCCTGCCAGGAAGGCTGCTGGCCTTTCTCTCACCAACAGAGCTTTTGCGGCCCAGAAACGCCAGGGAAGCAGCAGGCTTCTCCCCAGAGACAGGAGGGCCCCGGGCCAGCTTCCCAGGCCCCCATCCCCAGCTCCCCCTCCCTGCAGTCCCCCGGAGGTCATCGGAGCTAAACGAGGCCACCCTGCAGCAGACTCTGGCTTCGGCCCAGACGTCAGCAGAGGCTGAGAAAAGGAGAAACCAAACACCCTCCGACAAACAGCACCGCTGGGAAGGAGGCTTGGTGCAAGGTGCCCAAGCGGGAAGGAGCAGCTCTACCTGCCAGAAACCCCAGGCTGTTTACAGAGCAAGGATCACGGGGGTTTCTGCAGCACAGCCCCGGGCCAGGAGATTTCCACAGACAACAGACTGTGTGCCAGGCTCCCCTCTGGGCCTGTGCTGTCGTAACGCGCCTTCTAAGCCAGAGGGCACACAGAGGCGTGGGGAGGTAAGGACACTGGCTTTGCAGCAAGCTGTTCCTGAGTCCTGGCCCTGGGGGACAGTGCGGGCTAGGAGCAGGGCCAGGAGGAAGGAGGGTTGTGGAGTCCCCTGGACAGCGTGCCCCCAGGCGGTCAGCAGTTGCCCCCCACCCATGCCCAGCAAGGGATGCCCGCCGCAGGCTCAGACTCAGCTCAGGTCCCTGCGCGGTCACAAGCAAGCACATGGCCCTGGGGAAGCGGCCATCACCGTACCCACCCTCACCTCCCTCAGAGCTCCTCAGGGGCGAAGCGGACTCCTGTGCCCCTTGTAGACCAGCTCTTGGAGAAGCAGAAACCGTGTGCCCAGGCCCCCGCCACCCCAGCTGAGCGGGCGCAGGGCGGGCACTGGCTGCCAGAGGAAAGCAGGAGTGCACCCCCAGGAATGCGGGCGGCAAGCGGGGGTCCCCGTGAGCCACCCCACAAGCAGTCAGCCCTGCACGCGGCCTGCCAGACCCGGGACCTCCGATCTCCGCGGCCTCGATGACGATCGAGCCCAGGTGATCAAGCTGTGTGAGCAGAGGCCTGACTTCAGACAAGCAACCCAGGCGCATGGAGCCAGAGGGCCGGGCGCACGGCTCTGCCACACAAGACCCGAAGTCTCCCCTCCCCGTCAGCTCCCAGCCCCAGCCCCAGGTCTCATGGCAGCACCCCTGAGGGACGGCTCCACTCGGCTCCTGGGCCTGCCTGCACCCACGGCGAGTCGGTCACCAAACTCGCTACTCAACTTCCTGTCACTGGTCTTGGGAGCACATGCGTTGCATTTCTGCGTTACTAAAACATGAGAATAGCTGAGGGAATTTGATTTGTTTTAAATGTTCTTGGCAAAATTAAAACCAAAAAACCAAGTACACCCAGTCACCCTGTGCTTGTTTGCTTACTGTGGGGACGGGGCCGCAAGAGCCCGGGGTGGCGGCACGACGACCCCGGGGCACGTGCTGCTGCTGAGCCACCCCACAGCCACCGCCGCACACCTCCACCCTCGCACCCCTATTTTCCAACAGAGAGGACACTCTTCTGTGGCCTCATCTCTTTCTTGATATGTTTGTTCCTTTTTTACTAAGACGTTACTCAGTTTTCACATCTGGAGGCCCGTGACTAGCAGCAGAAACATACATGGACACCTGGAAGCACATCGTAACCGGACAGAGGGTGACATGTGCCCCTCCCCCTTCCTCAAGTCGATGTTTTGTTGTTGTTTTTTTTTTTTGAACGGGCTCCACACCCAACACGGGACTCAAACCCACAACCCTGAGATCACGTCAACGTTCCTCTGACTGAGCCAGCCAGACACCTCTCGTGAACTATTTCTTTAAAGCAAAGCATTTTTCTGGGAATAGGGATCCCTTAACCTTTCACCTTCTAAAATTACAAGGGTTCCCAAGGGTCCCTTCACTCTACTTGTCACTCCTGGCCCAGTCTTATCACATCTGTTCCCTAGATCTGATTTCGCAAGCCTGTTCCACACATCGCCCTCCTTCTTCCTGCTCCTGCGCGTCCCGTCTCCCCCAACCCCGGCCTGGTGCCCTCAGCAGTCCCTCACTCCTGCCTCCCTGGCGGAGGCCTGGTCACCACAACCGTGGAGGAACCACGCCTGGCTCCTTCGGAGAACAGCCCTTCTGCAGGGGGCCTGACCCACTAAGGTCTCCTGTCACCCTCCTGTCCTCCCTCAGGTTCCAGACACACAGGAGACGGGAAGACAACTGCTCTGAATCACGAAGTGGAAAAGGGGCGGAAGATACGAGAACATGGGAGACACGGACATGCAATACATCTAACAAACGTTGGGGAGAAAACATGGTAGAAGCAGCACTGGAAGAAGAAATGACCAGAACTTCCCAACGCCCATGAAGGACATTAAGCCACAGGTCAAAATAGCCTCACCAAAGCCAATGCAAGACCCCTGACTTCCCCGGGCCACGGGCTCAGCTGCCGACCCTGGGCTCTGTGTCAAGCCAGCTGTTAGCAGGTGGCAGTGTCAAGGCGCTGGAGGACCCCTGTATGTGGTCCGACATGCACACGGGCTTGTCTTCCTGTCCACGGGCCTCCTGAGGAGGTCTCTGTGCACCAGGCTGGCCACCCATGGCTGGCTTCCAGAGCGTGAAAGCAGGCCTTTGAAAGGTCTGCTAAAGGCCTGGAACTAATCTGGGTCACCAGCCCCGGTGGGCTCTTCTGTCCTAGGAGAGCGCAGACCCAAGGGAGCCAGGTGCTACACCCATAGAGGGCAAGGCCACCAGGCCAAGCAGCACAAGCGGCCACCCCAGCCCCAAAAGTGCCCCTCCCTCCAGAGCAGCGGTCACACGGGGGCCTCGTGTCCACGGAAACAGGCCCCCAGCTTGCTGGGAAGGCAGCCTGCTCTCCTCCCTAGCCCTGCCCGGCTCCCAGAGGCCCCGAACCAAGCTACGGTGGGTGGGGTCAGCCTCCCGTGATCGGGACATCGTGCAGGGCAGACAGCGGTCGGCAGAGCAGAGAAGGCGGGACTAGGGTGGGCAGGGGGCGGCTGACTCAGCCACACAGCCAGGATCCACAGCATCACACCCCTTCCCTCTTGGCAGGGGGCCGGGGGAGGCAGGAGGCAAATGAACTCCAGCCACACACTGGGGAGAAAATCCCTCCTTGCTGGGTGTCATCAGCACCTCCAGGTCTTGAAAGTGGCCTGGACAGGGAAGCTGTCTCCCGTTCAGAGGAAGAGACGTGATCGTGATCTCCCCAATGGCCACGGTGTACAGATGAAGCGGGAGACCAGATGGACGGGCCCGACCCACAAGCCACTACACCGTGTGGGAGTCTCCCAAGGGTGCAGCAGGGGTTTTCCTTCCCTCCTGCCCCACTGACCACTGTCCTGAGCCACAGGCAGCTGCAGCAGATCATCGGGGGGGGGGGGGGACAGCTGCAGGCCTCCCCCCACCGTTCTGCTCCCTTGGATAACCGCACCCTGGGCTCCACTCCCGCCAGGCCAACGGCTCCAGCTGGGCACAAGCAATGGATCCCGTGCGTGTTAACCCTTTTCCCCATAATATAAATATTCTGGCCCTGCGGTGTCGTGTACTGTAATCGTAAGGCTCTCCGTCCGGCAGTATTCTCGGGGCCTGAGCGCGCTCAGTGGGCAGCAACTACTTGCTCCAGCACCAGGGAGCACGACTACTGGAAGGGCAGAACCCACGCAACCACCTTGTTCTGGCCAGTAAGGACACGAGGGCCGAAAAGCCGGCCCTGAAAACCCACCACCCGCCCTGCTCCATGGGAGATGAGGTGTGATCTCCTCCTGCCCGAGACCGGACTGGTCTGAACCAAAAGAGCCGGTGCAGGGAGGCGAGGTGAGGGTGCACTCGGGGAAGGGGCGCAGGGGAAGCCAGGACTGGCTGAGGGTCATCTCTGTGTGTAAGAGAGGATTCCTGTTCCAGATGTGTGATCCCAGGACCCGGGACTCCCTTCTATCCGATCCATCCGTCGGGGCATTGGGCTGGGCCAACAGCGCACAGCGCACGCCTGTGCGGGTTCTGAGAACGAGTGCGCGAGGACAGGCCTCAAAACAATACCTCTGGGCCCACCTCACGCTGCCCAGGAACGGGGGTCTGAGGCAGGGGGAGGACTTCACAAATATGTGTTGGTCGTCTCCATATTCTTTTGGGGTTTTATGGTTTATAAACTCTTTTGTATTGAGAAAAATAGCCAGAGCATCTTTGACAAAAAGTTCTACACCAGAAGACTCTGGACCACAGCCTGGTGACCCCTCTTACAGTGGTGGGGGTCCTGAACCCTCCTTTCTCTTGGGGTCCCCTCTTCTATTTTGGGCCAGATCTTCTGTCCCAAACACTTGACTCCCACCCCAACTCCTCTTCTCCCAAAAAAGCCCCCTCTTCCCCGCAACACACACACATTTAAGTCCTGAAGAAGCTAAGAACACTCCAGCCTCTGTGCCCAGTCTCCGGTGTCAGGACCATTTCCTGCTGGGATTCGTACCAACACACCCACACCCATTATGGGATGCATCAAACCTACTTAAATCTTTAATCTTAGGGGAGAGAGAAGCAGAAGCAACGGTGGGAGGGGAGGGGCCTTCCATGCAGAAGGTAGGGCTGGGGGACCAGACGGAAGATGAACGTACAACCACGTCACTCGGGAATTTCCATGCAGGTGCAAGAAACTTCTGTCAAAGTGGCCACAAGACTGTTTAGCGGGAGAAGGACAAAGGCAACTCCATGCTAAGCACTAGAAACCACAGCTTTGTGTGCAATCCTGAATTTAGGGGGCGGGGTCCAGGGGGGTGCAGAGAGGAGAGCGTGTAGCTCTCTGCTCTTTCCCGATCCCCTCCTTTCGGGAGCGGCAGAACACTAAGGCCCCGTGGGCTTGAGCGACTCCTCCTCCGGGCAGTGTTTCCTGGCGGCTGACTCCGCTGGGCTGGGTACTTCCTCTCCCACTTGCTAGTGTTTCTAACACACACGCTGACCCTTCTCCCTTCTCTCTTTACCCTGAGAAAGTAGATGAACATGTAAAGACTTATTGGTTCTCGGAATCCCTATTTTATAAAAGGGAAAACCTAAGCAGGGCCCAAGGTCATAAGGAAGCAAGGCTGGATACCTGATACTGTGACGACCTAAAGCCCAGTTCTGACCCCATCTTTCATATCACTCCTTAACAAGACCTAATATCCACCGTTCGCCCTGCTCACATCTCAGCCGTGACACCCCCCGAACCGAGGTGCACCCAGGACTCCCACCCCATCCACGTCCACCAGCTGGATACCTGCCGCTGACCTTCTCAAGGTCAAGCCTGCCTCCCAGGGGATCTACCGTGATCCCTTTCCTTCATGCCCCTCCTACAAAAAATCCCTACACCTGTTGGTCCACATCACACCCCACAAGGGGAAGAAAGGTCAGAAGTGTTTTCTAGAAGAACAAAGCAGGAGTGTTAACTCACTCTGTTTAGACAACAACCCAGCAGTAAACCACAAACTTCGCAATACAGTGAACCACAGGTATAAAGCAGGATGTTTGTAGCTCTGGAGAAAAATGGTTTTTTGCAACACAAACAGTTCTAAAATCTATGATATTAATTCTGATCTTCTATTCAGTTTTCCTCTGTTTTTTAAATGCCAGTCCTGACCCACTGAACTGATGTCACACTGGCTGAAAGGTCGTAACACACAGCGTGACCACCTCGGGGTGTAGCTGAAAGCCCAGAACACCCCCAAGAGCCAGAACGCCACGTTCTCCCCAGACCTGGGTGCTCCCTGCCATCACCCTCCCCCCTCGAAGCCCGACAGGAGGGGCCAAGTGCTGAGCAAACCCCTAGTGTGCGCACGCTGAGGACGGCTCCAGGCCCCAGGCAGCTGCGAGCACGGGCTCCAGAGGCTTCTGATGGCACAGGACACCTGCTCACTCTGACCCCATCCCAGGTTGGGTCTGGCCCCGGGGAGCCCTGCCCCGGGGCTTACTGAGGCTGCCTGTCTGCCGCACACACCTTCCCCCAGAGACCCTCCCGCTGCGCTCGTCTACCTTGACCCCACCCCCGAGGGCCTGGCTTCTGCACCCTCACCGGAACGCACTGCATTCCATCAAATTCAATTTGCCACCACGACCTCCTTCTGACCACTTTTCCCAATGAGACCCTCTACTTGCCTCACCCACAAAGAGCCCCCATAAGAGGATCCACCCCACTCCAACCCCGTCGGTCGAGCAAAGCCTATGTGCTGAGCCCCATCCGGAGCGGCGGGAAGAGGGCTGGAGAGAAAGACCGCAGAGCGAGAAGGGACAGCTCCGGCCTCGGACCTGCTGGGGAGAAAAGCGGGCCTCCACGCAACACTCCGGTAGCCAGTGCTGCCCACCCAGCAGCCCCTGTGGGAAGCAGGGAAGTGCCCAGGCTCCTGTGGGGTGAGGATCCCCGGAGGCCGCCAGGTTCTCAAACTCGTCTCAGGAGCAGTCACAATGCTGCGTGAGGAACTGGCTGACTGCAAGTCCACACAAGGAAATAAAGCCACGGCTCTGATGGTACTTTGGGCTGGACTCGGCAGCAGCTAAGCAGCAGCACATGCAAATTTTGGAACAGCAATGGAACAAACGCTTCAAGAAAGTTCCATCCAATGAGCGGGCTCTGCGCATCGGGGAGACCAGCAGCCGTCACTCAGTGTCAGAGCCCGCACACGGGTCCAGCTCCGAGGGCCAGGCTCCCGGGGGCGCAGAGCCAACCCCGAATGAGGAGCGGGACGGCGTCTCGGGGAGAAGCGGCTGCAGAGCACGCGCGTGCCGGGGCATACGGCGGGACACTCAGAAGCGCACCTGAGCAAAGCGCCAGACAAGCAGGTCATGGTGCAGACACACACAGCGACCTGCACCTTGCTCGCGAGCGGAAAGGACAACGTGAGGTCACTGCAGCAGGTACGAGGGCTTCACTCCAAAGTCATCTGCGACTCAGCTCAGGTGTACTGGACACAACAGGACTCAAAGCTCCAGGGAAAAGGAGAGCTCCCAACCGCACAGACTTCCTGACAGAACTCAAGGCCACAGCCCCTGGTTAGCCGTCCACTGACACCTGCCAGCTTGTGGGGGTCTAGCCAACGATTCCTGTGAGGCCAGTCAGGGGCAAAAACCCCTCTGGAAGCTCGACGGCTCCATGAGGAAGGTTGACTGCCCAGCCCTGTCCCGGCAGCAGGGCTCAGTGACAGGAGGGAAAGGCTGCTGCCGCAGACACGGTCCCCCAGGGGTGACAGAGGCAGAGTGGGATACAGTCACTGGACCATCCCCTGGGGAGAAGGGTCAGGAGCAGCTGAGTCAGGCGCCAATGGCCTCCCCGGGACCCCTCGGGTCCCCACCCTCTCCCACCTCCATGCAGGCCCCATGGTGGCCAAGCGGAGGATGGCCCAGGGCAGGCGAGGCGGCATGGGTGCACACGGCCACCTTACCTCCGAAATTGGCCAGCCGCCCAATCCGTGTAACCGGCACCTTCCGCTCCCGAGAGTGCTCGCTGAGCTAGAGGGGGCAAGGAAAGAGACCGCACGGAATCGGCGAGCGGGATAGGACGAGCCGGCAGGGTCCGCGCAGCCCCCCACTGCTCCGCTCCACCCCCGAAGTCGGCCGCTCCACCTGGCGGCCTACTCCACCAAGAGGAGGCCTCTGTGTCCCCAAGAACTCCAGACCACGGCATCCGAGAACGTCCTCAAAGGAAGGACTGACACCAGCGCCACCGGGAGCAGCGGCCACCCCAGTCCCACTCCACCTGGCCCTCCGGGACGCACCATCTGCTTGTGGGGCTTGCTCTCGGGGCGAGCCTTGGCCTGCCGGGCCTTCTCAATGTCCTCCGTGGTGAGGCCCCCCACGGGGGGCTGGTCCTGGTGGAAGAACCTTCGCGGAAGGCCTGTGGCAGCAAGCGTGTGTCTGGGGTCTCCAAAGAGCCTCCCAGTGACCATGCCCAGAGGGGAGGCAGCCTGGCCCGGGAGCCCGGCTTCCCTAAAGGGTCCACTGGCCACGTAGGCTGGAGCTGGGCCCTCACTGCCAGTGTGATCCCAGGGTGGGGGCGGTGACCGGTGAGGAGAGGAGGCGGCAGAGAAATCTGTGGGGGCCCCCGCAGTCTGAGGCCCAGCAAACTCTGCTTCCGGGTCGTCGAAGCTCTCAGCATAAGGCTCCTGGCGCTGATCCTGAACCTGTGGGGAGTGGTGAAGCCAGCATGAGAGAAGCACCTGTGCCCACCCCACGCCCTACATGGGACGGCCCATGTTCCACCGGGTAAGCAGCCCTCAGCCAAATCTGTAGGGGAGCTCCTGCTCCTTCCCAGCCCGAAGCCAGGAGACCCAGGTTCCGCCCTGCTCCTGACAAGCCCCGCTCCCTGGTCCTGGAGACATGAAGTGTCCTTCAGACAGACGTGTCCTTCAGACAGCCACTGAGCACCCGCTGGGTGCCTTGCCAGGCCCGGGGGAGGACTGCCACACTAGGGCAGCAAGTTCTTCACCTGTAAAGGGAACTGGGGTCTGGGCCACCAGTTCCCGGGGGGCTGTCCCAGCTCCGTGAGGCACCCGGAAGGACAGCAGGTCTCCCGAGCCAACGCCCCTGCTGTGTCCTGGTTCACCATCCTGGCCTCGCCAAGAGCTCCAGGCCAGCCCCTCCTGCCACCCACTCCTGCCAGCCTCCTTACCTGCACCTGCCCCAAAACCAAGCCGATCTGCTCCGCAGCCGCGGACTGCAGGGCCCTGGCTGCCACGAGGAGCTCCCCGCCGAGGCCCAGGTGTTGCAGGTGGGTCTCCACGGCCGCCTGGGTCAGCTTGGCAAGGCCTTTGACCAGCATGATGGTGTCCCCCAGCACGGCAGCCATCCTGGAGGGCTGCAAGAGAGCGGGCTAGTCACGGCATGCCCCACACTCAGAGCAACTGCACCCCAAGGTCTGGGCAGAGGTATCAGCAGGTCTGGTCCTGCCACTGGACCCCTCTGGTGCAGGCTGATGGACAGAGAGGACAGTGGGGGACGGGGGCAGGGCTCTGGGTCGTAGGAGACACCAAGGCACAGAGAGGTGAAGTGAGTTACCAGACGTCTCCCAGCGACCAAGTGGCAGAAGAGGGACATGAAGCCAGGAGTCCTGATTCAGCCCAGTGCTCTTTCCCCTGGAGCCAAACTAGGTCTGGAAGGGAGCGTCCACCCTGAAGCACCTCCCTCTAGGGCCCAGGGCGCCCTGACCCCAACCCCTCTGGGCTGCCCGTCCCGACCCAGCTGCCCCTGCTCTGCCCGGCGGGCCTCTGACAGACACCCACAGGTCCAGGGACATGCAGAGCCCCCTGCCCACCCTCAGGCTCCACGAATAGTCCAGCTGTGGGGTCTGCAAACTGCAGTCCAGCACCCTCCATCTGGGAAATCCAAAGCAGCATGAAAACCAAGAGCAGCAGGACGCGGGATGGCCAGGAAAGCACTGAGTGCACTGCGGGCAGGGCCCTCTCCGGATCCTTGTTTCCCCTGCGTGCACCCATACTTTTCCCTCTACTCCGTCGCAGTGTAAAACGCGTTCCTTCATGTCAGCCAGGTCCAAAGAGCCAGAAAGCCACCTTACCCAGGGCTGCCTCCCAGGGGAGCATGTGCAGTCATCCCCCAAGTATTTCCTACAGCCTACGCGGGGTTGCGTGCAGGGGGCGGGGGGGATAGGGTCCCGGTGACATGCTGGGGCTGAAGAAAACACACAGAAAGGAAAGGAGCAGCAGGGGACCCCAGAGAAGCAGCTGGGGAGCACTCTGGCCAGGGCAGGGAGGAGCTGGGACCTGCTACGAGGAGGGGTGAGGCTGTGGGGGAGCCCAGGAAGGGCCGGGTACACCCTGGACAAGGGGCCTGAACCAGCAGGAAGGAGGCCGAGGGCACAGAAACGCTGCAGAAACGCTGCAGACTCCGAATTCTCCTCACATGAGGGAAGGGAAGCTCCAACTCTGAGGACCTCGTAGCTCCAGCGGCCTCCAAACACAGCTGACTGCCTCCAGCCCGCCTGTCACAGCGGAGCAGCTGGGGTCAGCCCAGGGGTCCTGCAGGGACCCTGAGCTTGGGAAGGGAGCAGCTACTCATATTTACAAGGAGAATGAAGGCACAGGAGCCTGGAGAACAGAGACAACCCACGGTTACCTGCCTTTGCCACTACCATCAGGACAGCAGCCACCAGGCCCCAGGCTGGAGTGCTCTCCACTCACCATCATTTGGTCCTTTAGAAACAACTTAGTGACACAGGTATCACTGCTCCTCCTTCCTCCACAAAGGAGAAAACCAAAGCCAGAGTGGTCCACGATCCTGAATGGTGCCCCGAATGGTGGTCCTGGGGTCTGACCCCAGCCCGGCTCTGCCCTGTGCTCACCACACCAGGCTGCCTTCCTAAGCACTTGGCCCACTGGCCCTGGGGCATCCCCTCAGGGACGCACCCCAGTAAGGCACAAATGAACTGCCTACACCCTCAACAAAGCCAAGGAGGTTTCTGGAAGGTGACCATACTCTTGAAAAAGATGAAGGGGAGAGGCTAGCTGGGCCCATCACCTGCTGCCATCACACCCAGGGCTCTGATCTGGGATCCACACTTTATGGCAATAAACAAAGCTGAGCCCCACAGACCAATGTCTAGACCTGGGGAGAGAGCCCATAATGAGGGCTCACACAGGGCTCTGCCCGTGCTCAAACTGCCAGCCCCCGGCACACAGGCACACAGGACGCAGTGCCCATGCCCGGTCAGCCCACAGACCCCAGCAAGAGAGGAGGTTCCTGAAGGAGATGGTGGGGACATACAAGGGTAGATGGAGACTAAGCCTCAGCCACGCCTGCTCAGAAAGATCCTTGCTGGTGGCCCAGGGTACCCACTGTACCCCACTGTCCCCAAGTGCCCCAAATTAGACCTTTCCCTTGCTCACCTCTCAGTGCAATACAGCTAACGAGGGCAGGAGCCTCCCACCCACGAGCCACAGTCTCCAATAATTCCAAAACCTCAGCTTGTCTGCTAATGGATCCCACATCTTCCATAGACCCTCCGAGGACCTATTTAATTCAGACTTCGTTTCCAGGTGAAAATTAATTCTCCCTGAATTTCTTATGCAAGTTATAAGCATGAACGGAAGTGCCACTAGAGCAGAGCTGAGAAGTGACGTGGGGCTGGTCTGCCCTGCCGGCGCTGACCTCACCAGCCCCCTGCACAGATCCACTGGCGATCCAACTGGAAGGCCAGCCTCCGGCCCTGAACGCTGCAGACACAGGCCTGGGACCCACTAGAGGCCCGTCTTCACTCCCCCAGCTCCTGAGCGTGGTGGCAAGGAGCACAGCCCCCAGATAGGCTGGGATTACACCCACTTCACAAGGATGCTTTAGAAAAGTTCCTGAGGAAAAAAAAATGCTAAATAAACCAAAGTTTTTTTTTAATTCCTGCATTTGGGAGAAATGAGTAACAATTCTCCTGACTTGTTTAGTTCATGTATACACTTTCAAGGGGACAAATGAGTAAGTCATCTAAAAACGGTCCACACTGAAAACTGGCTGTGGGGCGCCTGGGTGACTCAGTTAAGCACCCAACTCTTGGTTTCAGCTCAGGTCATGATCTCAGGGTTCTGGGATCGAGCCCCGTGTTGGGCTCCGTGCTCAGCAGGGAGTCTGCTCGGAAGTCTCTCTCCCCCCACTCCTCTCACCTCACCCACACCCCTTGGCTCAAATAAATAAGTATTAAAAAAAAAACCAACTATTTAGTTATGCCTTCTTCTGTGTGAACGATTGCGTCCTCAGCCCCCGCAAAGCCGGGACGGGCCCGAGTCTGACCCTGGACGCGGACACCAGGGCGGGGAGGAGGGCGACTCCAGCTAGCCCTCTGCTAAGTGCCAGTGGGAATAACATCGCAGAGATTCCATCGTCTTGCTCACTGTGGGGCAAACAAAACCTGCTGTCCTCAAATCAACAGATGCTACGAATCAACACTTGGTCATTTGGGAGCCGATTCACATGTGGATGGCCAGGCCTGCCCTCACTTTGACAAATATTTATCTCCGGTCAGTACAGTCAGCCCTTCACACCTAATCAACACCAAGTACTTCTTTTTTTTTTTTTTTTTTTGAGCAAGGGACAGCAGAAAGAGGAACAATGGCCAGAAGGCACTACCTTTCCAGAACTTTCCTCACCTTCCAGTTTTCAAAAAGTGGGTCTCAGGGATCTGAGGCACCAGAGTCCCAGTGGGACTCAGAATTCAGTTACCCTGAAGTTTGCTGCAACCCCTGCAGGAATGCACCTAGGCACTCACCTGCAGCAGGCGCCGTTTCATCATGATCTTAAGTAAATAAAAAGCAAAAGCCCCAGGGAACCTGGGTGGCTCAGTTGGTTAAGCATCTGCCTTAGGCTCCAGTGGTGATCCCAGAGTCCTGGGATCGAGCCCTGTGTTGGGCAGCAAGCTGCTTGGGATTCAATCTCCCTCTGCCCCTCCCAACCTCACCCTACACCCCTGCTCGTTCTCACTCTCTAATAAATAAACTGCTTAAAAAGCAAAACCTTGTCTGCACCAGGACGCATCTACAAGTATTAGAGCCCTCCAACCACCCACTTCTCCTGCTGGCCGCTGAGCGGTTTCCACACCTCACCCAGAAGTAACAGAGCAACTGAGCACACGGCTCTGTGCCTGCTTGGTAGGTGGACCCCAGAAGTCCCCGGTGTCACCACTCTGCCCCAAGAAAGGGACAGCCAAAAGTGCTGGGTGAGCAAACAGATGTGGGGGGTTTGGGGGTGCCTACTAGGGACTAGTACCAAAACAAAAAGGCATTCAGTGATCCATCCCACATTCCAGAAGACTCCCCTTGGTGCTCTGGGCTAGTCCCTGCAGGCCCTGGTGACCCTGCCCTTGGCCCCAGGGCGCACACAGCTGTGATGCCATGCAGACACTTCTATAGTGTCTGCATAGTGTCTCCCCAGGGAGAGGGCCAGAGGCCAACGGAGGCTGACACAGGAGGGTCAGAGACAGAGGCAGCTGCAGACCCCCACAAGAGTCCTAGGAAAAGGGACGCAGGGTCCCAGCTCTGCCAAGGCTGTGGTCACTAAGTGTGTCATTTGCTAGTTCCTCCCTCTCCAGAGTAGAGTGCTCTGGGTGGCTCCCCTTTTTGGTCCTAACATGCTAAACTGCCATAAAGGATGGAAATAAAGAGCTTATCTGGAGAAAGAACAGAAATCAACACAGCTCACCACCCCCAGGGACAGAGGCTAGAAAACACAGTTCCCAAGTTCCAAGAATGCGCCAATGACCCCTCACTCTCCGACCTTCCTGGGGCTCTCAGGACACAATCTCACTCCTGGTAGAGGACAGACTCACCGTGGGTCACTCGCCTCTCCTCTTGAGGGGACCGCGAGCTGGAGACCTGGTGGGGATGTACCAAGCCAGGGTTGGATCGCCTTTGTGGCTCTAAAACATGGCGTGGCCAAGCAGCTTGGACTGACCAAAGCCAGGGTAGTTCTATTTCCGAAACGCACACCCTGAGGGGCCCCGAAGCCTCAGGGTGGCTGGGAGAAGGACCCCAAAGGAAAGCTCTTTGTCTTGGGGAACGCGTGAAGCTTCATCCAGCCATCTGCCCCACACATGTCACCCCCACGACACCCCCATGTCCCATAGGCATCAAATGGCCCTCACCACCCCCACACCCTCTCCCGGACTCCTCATCCTGAGGAATGTGACCACCACCCACTCCTCACCTCAGGTGACTCCCTGGCCACCCCTGGCAGGACGACTGCCCCAGCCCCAAGCTGGCCCTCCTGCCCCTAGTCCCCGGCCCCTGCTCCCAAATCACTTCCAAGCTCTCCGAGGTTCCTAAGGGGCTGAAAGGACTCTCGTGACCTGGCCACCCCAAA